ATCTCTTGGATAAGTGATCAACTTGGAACAAGAAGAGAATATCTGGTGGCTTCCTGTTGTTGTTCTGGCATAATCCAGGACCCCTTTATCTATTTGTAACTTTGTAGGTTTTAACATATGTCTGCTCCTTTCTGAAAGACATGGTAGCCACGACTCTGTAATGAATAGCTCCAATATCTCTCACGGTGACTGAGTAAAACTCTTTCTAACCCTAACCCTTACAGTAAGCATTAATGGGTCTGCATTTCCACTTGGTATGACAAAACCATTTTATAGCCATTAGTTTTGAGGACAATCGCAATTCAGTCCAAAGAGGAGTTTGTCTTTTAAACTGGGATTTTATTCCATTTTTTTTCTTTCTTCCAAGTTGATCTCTTAATTATTTGACAGTCAACAGAGTATAAAAGAGTACTATTTTAAATGCGTTCTGTAAAACCCTTGTTAGTTCAACCAACCGCCAGTTGGTATTCCTGTTTTCTGAAACCATGTTACCAGGCTACCTACTTTCGTAGCACTGTTGCTAAGCATTCAAAACTATCGTGGTGTCAGTAGCTTTTAAATTGCCTGCTTTTACTTACAAGCTAACACTATGACTTTCCCTTTTGGTATCCGATCCATACAAGGACGTAGTCCTGAAGCCCTACATCTGGAGTAAGGTATATTATCTGTATTTTAATCCATTGTAAAGCCAAAAATCTTAGGAAACCTTGCTATTGGAAGATTTTACGAAGAGGCTTAGTTTCAAGAACTAAAACTACACTGCCCTATGATAAGAAAATTCAATTTTGGGTTAGAATTTGAGTAAGTTATTTTTAGAGCTAATCGGTTTTCAAGGAACTGAGCAGAACGAAATCGCCGCGAAATCTGCTTGAGGCCATAACAATTTTAAATTGCAGCCGGAGGGGTTGCAGCTATATCCATCAAAATAAACTAAGGGGCTGTGCCCGAGTATAGTCTTTTTTTTCTTTATTAGATTTAGTGGGTTCGGAAATAAACAATGTTTGACAATTGTATGTATTTTTTCGGAGCCTCATACATTTGCCCTTTCCAAATTAACATCAGTAGAAACTAAGACGTATGTATAATGGATCTAGAATTATCCTGTGCAACCACCTAGTTACTACCTGATGTCCCCCTCCGGCTGGTTACAATCTTGTATAGGATACCAGTGTTCTTCTATGTTGACCTCTACCACGTTTTCAATGTCAAATATCAAAACCAAAGACAATGTGCAAAAAGAACTGTTAGTTTCGCGAAGCTTTTAGAATAATAGGTACTGGAACTTTTCAATAAACCACATGGCAGTGTATTGGCTTGGTAAAACCATGAAAGGTGATAATGCCCTTTATTATCGTTTTTCCCCTTACTTGACGGGATTGTGTACAAAAAAAGTTAGTCAGCCGTCAAAAAATTTTATTTTGTGTCTGCGGCACACTCCGTTTATCGAATGAAACAGGCACGGTACAACAATTTTGTCCTCTAAAACCTGATCCTATAACGACAGGTACCTCACAATAATTCGTTCCACAAAGGTGGGGATACATGAACGCCCATCAAGTTGATTGAAAAAGTTAATACAAGAACTGTAAAGATTTCAAAGGAGACAGCCAGGGTGGCGGCGGAAGTAAAGAAGGATTTTGTGATCTATAGCTCTAATTGATGATTGCACGACGGCTAGGAGTTTAAAGGGATTGTTCTATTTATTATGCCCCTCCTTTTGTCTAGCTCTCATAGCGAGACAAAAAGCATGCGTCACAGTTATTGATCGCGGTATACATGTCAGTTACCCGACTCTCTCCTGACTTGGCTTTTAATTTTCTAAAATTAAGAAGGTTTTTGGCTGAAACGGTTTAAAAAACCGTGCTTTCGACCATCTAAAAACCACGGCAAGGAGTAGACCGCTCGATTTTTAAAACGTTAAAAATAAGAACTTTTTTTTTGGCATAAATCCGTTTCTTTAATCGATATTCCTAGTCAATGACTACAATTGCACATGCGTCCCTAGTTTTGCAGGGAATAACTGCTGCAATAATTCAGTGACGCCGTGCTTGCTTTCAAGTGTATGACTGCCTCCGCTCCCACTTACCATTGAAGTTTCTAACACGTGGTGAAGTAAGTAGTCGCACGACTAGAATTTCTCAACTTTTGCAAATTCCCTTATTCTGGACAAAGGACATTCTGTAACGTAAGCCTGTGGAACAGTTTGGACAATTCCTTTAAACTCTGCAACTCTGTTCTTAATTTTAAGCAAAAACTTAGAGCCAAGTTATTCTCTGCTTTTCTTTCCTGTCAGTCTTAGCTACTTTTTTCGTTATAAAGTTTTTATCTTGTAATTTTAGCGAACATTTTTCAGCTTTCTTACTCTTTTATGTAAAAACATTGTATCATTAATCCCTCAAGCTTTGAGCCACAAAACCTCCATAGCCACCGCCTCCAGTCCGTCAGGAACCAGCCGAAGGAAGCCACTGCCTCAAGTACTCGAATGTTGAGGACGCATCCTTTCTTAAGCTACATCCTACCCACTCTGCTACTCAACGAAAATCGTTTCTTTAGATCCGTGAGACGCTCGCAGATGACATTACCGCTTGCATTGAGAGCTAATAAGTTGAGCTGAGACAGGATATATTTCCTTGTTTGTGCCCCGTTAGGGAATTTATTGTTCAACTACATTTAACAGAAAATACACGAAGCGAATATCCTACGATAATTTGAACATTTTGTTTTCATTGAGTATAGTCTTTGCTGTTAAGAATCAAATGTTTTCCAGCGCAGGGGGGAAAGCACAAAGCCTACCAAGGACCACATATGATTACTTCAACGCTTTAATTAATTGGGGTCGAGATAATGATTTCACACATGCATAATACCAGGTCTCGCTCGATGGTACCGTCTCCAACCGTTTTAGTGTGGTCAGGTGAAAAATATGCAAAAAAGCCAGTGTGAACGAAAATACTTTGCTTTGCTTTCTTCAAGATTTAAAAGGGGGACTTTTGAAAACGCATTATGTTTGGTATGTTTGAACTCCAGGTACCAGTCGTTCAAAAGTTGGATGACTGTATTTACGATTTCGTTTGTTGTGATTTCCCAAAAGCGCAAGATGTTTAATCTCATACAGTATAAGAGTCTGGAATGGAGTTACATGACCAACGACAAACGGGGGCAAATACAACTGACTACTGAAAAAAAGGGATTACCAGTAGGAAAATATCACCGTCGACTAATTAACTTGCATTTTTCACCTGAGATTTACCAATAACCTACAATGGCGGGAATTTTTAACTGACAACGGACAACGAAATTTGGATTCCCCAAACCCTCCAGTAGACAAAAAAAATATACCAAAAAAATATACATGGAATTTGAGTTCGGCAATGGCTTTAATAAACATCATAGTAAATACTTGTTGAGTAAAATTTAAAAACCTTGAAATTGATTCTAATATTAGTAGTATAGGGCGCACCGGCGCGGTTAGATCACTTTTTGGGGAGCAATCTCATTAACGAGGGCAGGAATACAGTAACGTCGTTGATGCCACAGCCTTTTGTCTTTTCTGATGTGGTTTGCCCCGTTGGACAGGTTTGCTAGTTGTTTCTCGCTCGATAAATGTCTTGTTTTTCGCCTGGCTTAAGACTAAAAGATCTACATAGTGCTGCCTGTACTACTGACATGGATGTACTTGAAGGTAGGAATATCATTCATAACTAGTTCTGAGAGGAAGACAAGGGCATATTGATTTTTTTATTGGTCAATTTTACTGGAAAAACAGGCTAGACAAAAGGAAATACTTGTGACCGACACTAAGATTGTGAAAGCGGAAAGGGTGGAGCTGGTCTCTTAAGTGAGCGGATTCCTTTTTTCTAAACAATTAGTTATTATATTATAAGCCTATCAAAACCAGAAGCCTATTTATCACTTTTTAAATGATTTGTTATATGTGACGGATGAAACCAATGCCTACTTGAGAGTCACGGCACTGGTGATTTCTTTAGTTGTACCTCAACACTGAAACCATTCTTGAGATTTGGAAAGGTGACTTTTAAGCCACTGGTATCCACCCATACGTTTGGTTTGTAACTATCAGGGTTGCCGTGAGTCTGGAGGGAAACGAAGCTTTTTTGTACCTTTTTTCTCAAGGTAACCTCAATTTCACGCTCTCTGCTTGACGACTGGTACAACTCCGCTTGCCCCACGTCATCAGAATTGGTCAAAGGAGTTGCCCCTGACTTCCTTGTAAGATTTAAGCTTGGAGAGCTAATGCTGAGGTGAATAAACCTTGACGTTTCCTCGACCATGATAAGGCAATCTCCCGAGTTGACTTCCGCCAATAGACCAAGGCTAGTAAGTGATACGGGTGCCGCTGAAGGGAAAAGGACATAGCCAGTGATAGAATGGCTGAGAGCGGAGGGGGGAGATGACTTTGTCGACCTATAAAACTGCACGATATGAGCAACGTCATCCTTTTGTAAAACTTTGTAAACTTTCAATCCTGTAGATTGCTGGGCAGTTGTAAGGTCAGTTGGTGTTGCATCATATGATGTAGTAGGAATTAAGACTGCGTACTCGTATTCAGATGAGGTTCCAGAGGGCGAATCACCGTGATCAAACCATGCAGTACCGTATATCCCTGTTGTTGGGCTCGATGCTGCTCCGCTCTCTAGCCAGGAATCCTGATTAGTAGCGTGGACTTTTAATAAACCTTTACTGCCATCTGGTATGTAGTAAAAGTTGTCTTTGGTGTCAGTGAGTGTTGTATAAAGTTGTCCTGAGACTGAAGGAGTTACTACAGCAGCAGATCTCGTTACAGCACCGTTTATCTTAATGGACAGCCCGCCTGTAATTTTGTCTTGAAAGAGCGTTGTCTGAACAATTTTCCCATCAGTGTTTGATGCTGAAATGTCACTTCCTAGGCAAACTAGCAAATTTTCAAAAAAGAAAACTGATTTTTTAAATTCAAAAGTTACGGAGTGTCGCCAATCCCCTGTCTCCAGTTCATAAGTTGGCTGTTCAAAATCCATGCCAAAAACGCCATTCTTCAATGTGCTTGTACCCTTAAACGTCAGACCCCCAGCAAGGTTTTTTGGATTGTAAAACCTTCCCTTTGGTAATTTTAAGTCGTCAAAGTCCTTTGTACCCGACGAAGGATCAGTTTCTAAGGCAATAGTTGTTGCTCCAGGGACCTTGGCCCAATCCCAGCCATTTTCAACGTCATGTACTTCAAGGTTTGTTTCACTGTTGGCAATCAGAAGAGCACCATGACTACCAAACATTCCAAAAACATTTTCATCATTGGAGTTCTCAAAATCCCAGAGAAAACTATTAAATCCCTTCACTGTTACAGCCCAATCTTTGCGTCGATGAATGGATAGAACGGCAAAATTCTTGGACCAGTGACCTTCAGGGGAGGACTCGGAAGTAATGCCTTTGTTTTCCGCGATGGTTTTAACCTATATTCGATGGATCATATGAGCATATTAAAACATATCATGTCAAAAGTACCCTACCCTACTCTTTGCTCTTGCAGAAATAACATCAAATTAATATCGGGAAATTCGGGATATTTGATTTGTATGGGGATATCTCGTAGAATTATAGTCACCTGAACAGGTTCATCAGCACGTGACCACAGGAAATGTTTTACTTTTCCTAAACATTTGCTCTTTTTTGAGCCAGCAACAGTCTGAATGTGTTGTGCAAAAAATAAATACCTAGATTATATTCATTGAGCTTCTAAATACGAAGGAATGAGGATGAAAGAAAAGTCATTGAACTTTGCTAGGAAGTTTGTTAGCCTTAATGTGGGAGCCGAAAACTATTTCAAAAAATCGGATCTAGCACTTACCGCTTCCATGATGTCCAGAGAGCCCAAACTGTTGTAATAGTACTTCGCTTTGTAACCTCCATCTTCCAAATAACTGTTCACGGATGGATCGTTATATAACCTCAAAAACATTTCCGTTTTATTGTCGCTAGCTACACAGCCACCAGCTATTTCTGAAGTCCCAATAAGGGGATGTGAAACGCTGATATAAGCAAAGGCAGGTAAAAGAGCTTTCAGGATCAACTCGTTAGCATAATTTGGCATACGTCCGTTAACACTGTTTGGTGTGGAATACTTCACCGCAATGATACGCATAGTTTCAAGTCCCCGCCTGATGTTGTTTTCAGACGACGCCGATAAAGCGAATGCTGTTCCTTCAAGAAGGTAGTGAACCAAGGCTGCGGTATGTAACGCCTGTGGCACATAAGCGGATCCATAAAAAGCTTTATGATGATGCCCAACAAAGTCAGGTTTGATGACTCCTCCGAGACCTTCGTTCACAGCCAGAGCATTGTTCATCCACCGAACTAAAGCATCCATGTCCCGAATTTTGGCTTTGAAATCATCATCAGTGTTACTTGGCATTATCAGGACAATCATCAGCCTAAATAACATCAGCGTGATCATGCGGTCAGTAGTCGTTCCTTTGATTTCAAACGTCGGTGATTGATAAATCTCTCCAAAATCGTTGTACCATTTGGCTGTCTTTATCAAGTCCAACAATCTAGAATCATTTATTGGTTTCCGCAGAGAGTCTTTAAGAAGAAACAAAGAGTGCATAAATCCAGCACCATCTATATTCCATTCGTGGTCTAAACATCCAAGACCACTTCCGTCTGCAAGGCCTTGTTGTTTTACATAATCTAGAAGGTTTTTAATCTTGTTTAGACGGTGAATGTTGAGTCGTTTTATCGCATTTTCTACCTGTTCTGAGCTAATGGGTCCAGACGCAGGAAGGTAGCTTTTAAATTGGTCTACCATATTTCTGTCTCTACCTGCAATGGCTCTGCAGGCATCGTTTTTGGCTGCTGGATTGTTAAGATCATTCAGATAGGCAGCGACAGTGTCTCTTATTTCTGGAATCCGGGACCTTATATAATATTCCAGCGACAAACGAAACAGGATTTTTTCCATTATCTCTCCAAACTTCTTTGGATATCTACAGTCTCGGCAGAAGAGAGGTGGTCCAATGACTTTATGACTTGAATCGAAATCTAGAGCATCATAATCTTGATGTGCCTTCCTAAAAGGCCCTGCGAGCGAATTCCATCGCTTTTCAAGGAAGCTACCAGCTGGAAATTTGACAGTAGTTTTCGCCTCATCGCAGTACCAGTTGTTCAGACGGCTTTCAATCATTTCCAAACTTATTTTTTTAGAGACGTCAATTGTTGGAGGTGAGGGTGGAATGGTTTGTTGGCTCCATTTGTAGGTCTGTTGCCATGTGTTACTGGGATCATACAGATCCAGGCCGAATGGACTGATAGGAGGAACAACTTTGTCACGTGATTGTTTTGCCATACTCCTAACAAATGAGAGCAAATCTATGTAAATTGTATCGGCCTCCCTAAGTACAAAGTTCACCTCATCGACTTTAGTCGGTCTATTCAAGCTAGTACTGGTCAGTTTGCATTCTTGAAACTCTACCCAAACTCCTCTCCACCCTTCAAAGGCCAAATGAGCCGTGAAAGTGGCGACAAGAATGCCAGAATTTTTAAATTCTACTTTTAGGGTTTTTCCTAGTGATGGCCGTTCTTTGTAAAACCAGACTTTTACTCCTCCCTTTCTAAGCCAATTGGTTGGAATTTCTGAGCCCGATGAAAATTTTAGTTTCAAGCTTGGGTTAGGAGAACCACTAGGAGGTTCCCATTTCAAAGAATAGCTTCCATGCTTGACAGTCACTGGGTTAGAGGTTTTAGCGGATTGCGTCACGGTTCCATGAGCTGCGGGGGTAGCTTGAAAACAATTCAGTTCTGATGCAGTCTCAAAGTCAAATAGCTCATCATACTGGTGGGTGCAAGAAGGTGGGCCTAAGAAAGAAAATGAAACACAGGTTAATGCAGGTGTAGGGTGGATACCAACATTACATTGTCCAGTTTGAAAAACGTGCACAAAAGTTCAAGGACAAAACAAATATACAACTGTCATTTACTCTTCACTGTTATTTGCATAGTAAGTAATTTATCCTAGTGAGTTGGACCAGAAAAATGTTGAACGTAATTAAGAGAGTGAAGGATAGCCAAAAATTTAGAGACCATATAATATCCGTATGATTATCAATGTCAAGATCTTGGAAACACTGAACACATATGCAACAGCTGATATTAAAGTTATTAGCACAACAATTCAAAAAAGAAGGACGAAAATGCTTCTTGTGTTACCCAGTGAACAATTGGAGGGCAAATTTCATTGCATGGCCTTAAAGTTGGGGTTAAGATTTTATGCTACTACTGGGCTAACTGTGATATAAGGTACCTACTTTGAGCTCTTGTTGCCGGAACGGTAGACCAGACAAAGCAGAGCAGTCGAAGAGCAAGAAACTTCAATATGATCAATCTCATACTTGTACCTAGAATGATGTGAAATAGGGTAATAGAAATTAAAAATCTGGAATCTCAGTTACCTTTTTTATTTTTACAATTGGCATCAAAAAACATGCTGAAAATCCGCGAATATTTTAAGAGAAAGAGCAGTTGCCCTCTGCATGATTTTCTTTGCTTGGTTTCCACCGAAAATAGGAAGAAGTGCAAAAGGGATAGGCATGTTTGTGGGAAAGTAACGTCACGTTAGTAACTCTAGGCCTTAGCAGGTCTCGGAAAGAGACTATAATGCTGCTCTAATTTCCTTATCGAATTTTGGCTATTATTCTACTTATTTTTGTTTCAGTATTTTTTGAAACAGAAAAAATTATCAAGAAGAATTAAATATAATTTGACACCTTAGAGCAAATAAGCCATAGTACAAGTTCAAGGAATGTGTTCTCCGACTCGACTGACAGATCACAGTGTGACCTGTTTAGTAACAATGAATGTGACTGGTGTGGAAAAAAGAGGTTAAAGATCAAAAGGTACGATGAAGATTTCTTAATGGACTTCACTTTCACGGATTTTTACTGATACAGAAACATACGAAAAATACACTGTCTACAAGGGTAGCAAACACTTTATCAAATACAGTCCGGGAACTTGTAGTTGAAGCTCGTAAACTGGAAAGACGGTGGAAACTTTGACAACAGTTTGAGTTATAAAGGAAGGTTCGAAAAAGAGCAGGAACTGAAGTTCAAGTTCAACATATCCTGTGATTCAGTTATACCTAGCCTGACTTATCTTTTGTTGACAAGTTGTTTTCAAACTTTTACTTTCGTCTGTCATAAAAATTCTAATGCGGACGACCCTAAATAAGATAGAAAGAACATATTCCCCCTTGCCATAAAGGCATCAGAAAGTTTTTGTTTAGATTGTTGTTTTAAGAGGACAAAATGATGTATGTTTGAATCGTTGTTAATTTTTACGATTTCGACAAACATCTTGTTTTAAACATATAGTAAGTTAACTGGGAAAAGGTTACGTCTGAGAATTAATCTGAATAACACAGTCAAATGCGCTAAAAATAAGGATCAGAAGTTCAGTTTAAAAGACTGAGGTTCCGCCGGTTCAAGTTGGTTACAAGGCAAATCTTGACAATATACGACAATATTTGGCAGTGACTCTAATCGAGTTTTAAACATTGATGAATGAAGACTTAGAAAGGCGCATTGTTTTACTTGGATCATCATTTTTCATTTTATGTGAGAAAAAACAAATACGACCGACAAACAAACTTTTAAAAAAAAGTTGAAAATCATAATTCCTTTGTTTTTAAAATGATGGTAAATTCTAAAAAAATATTTCCCATATCTCAAGACAATCAACTTACCATTTGGTTGAAATCCACTCCAGTGCAAGTGCCGGCTGTACCAATTTTTCATCGTAGTTTTGTGATCTTATGTCATAATTTATGTACAACGTAAAATTTCATCGTGCTTGAATATCATTACCATTGCGTTTGCAGGTTAGTACTTCATCATGAATGGGCGCCATGTTGCGATAAAATGAAGGTGGCTTTAAGGTGGGGTAGCTGTAGACAGTTTTAGGTGAATTCCGGGGTGAAAGATGATGATGTGAAACAGTGCGTGTTGGCAGGGTCACAGCATGACGCCAAAGACTGTTATGTTTAAAGATTCAAAACGAATCCTTGCTTCCATAAAATTTAAAACTTGCTAAGTTACATCGTAATTTAATGGAATTATCAGTTATAAAAGCAAAAAAAAATTGCGTTGTAATTGACCAGAGTGTCTTGTTATTCCTTCTATATTTAACTGTTGTCCTCTCTTCCTCAACAAATAAAAACAAAGCGAATAGAACGATAAATATATTGTCTACTTTTGTCTTTTCCAATTCGATTCAGCCGGTGTATACATATTGGGACAAGAGACTGTATTGTGAAAGTGCCCGTTTAGAAATGCAAAGACCTAAGACAAAATAAACAAGAAAAATTTGCATTTTCGCGTTCGTCAGATCTCATCGTAATCTTGGTGTTCCTGTGTTACAAAGCCACAAATTTTCGATGTATCGCCGACCACTGCCGATTAGCCTCCCCTATTAATTTTATCATGAGCATCTTGGCCGGGAAATTGGACTCATTTCAAGTCGATTTCGTTTCCGTAAGTGACGAACGGGGATTCCTAATCAATGATTACCTCTAGTAATAATTTTAATTGTGGAGATTATTTAAAACAGCGAAATTTCACAATTAGCTTATTTCCGCAAATTCTGTGTCATGTTTGTGTTTCAACAGTATTTGAACAACAAAGAGTTAAGTAAATGACAATCCATTACAGGAGAAAGTGGGTGATATTTGAAATAACTAAAAGTTTTTGAAGCTAAATTTTAAGGATGAAATGTGCAAACTTATTCTGGGTGTCCTGGGGGTGGAAATTACACGTCTGCTCGATCGCCATGACTGACCAGTTTCACATGACCGTACGGCGGGTTCAGGTGCACAACTGTTTGAGGTTACGCCGTGTTTTTAACGTTCTTTGTTGACCTGTTATTGGTTTTTAAGTGATCGCAGGACCAAATTAATTTTTTTCAGGAGGAATTCATTTTACTTCATGATTATGGCAATAGTTGAATTTCTGAAGAAAGAAATTTCTCAAAAGATGCCATGTGACATTGGCCTTGGCTAAATCTATACAATTATTCTGACAATTGTTAAACGACTTTTTTCATAATCACAGTTCATAAACAGAAAATATTACATGGATATATATTATTATTTCATTGTACTTGTCTTTTCTTAAACCTCATCTGTCCTCTTTTCCTAGTACCTGGAAGAACTTAGCCTAAATATCTGTGGGTCTTTCAATAACATGCTTTCGGATCTTTTGGCATCACGTCGCGTATGTTTTCCAACACTTCTGACATGTTAAGGGACCGTCCTTTTATTTCCTGCTTTTCTTTCAACCACCTCTTCTCTTTGGTATCATAATAACGATCCAGGACGTTCAAAGACCACGGTACACCTGCATTGCAAAGCTGTTCCACGAAATAGCGAGCAAAATTGATGACCTCTTGCTGATTCAGGTCCTCCTCTTTGTTGTCTGGTGGCATCCATGCATCAAGATAGGTCAGAATACCCGTGTCTATTATTCTACTTATTTTTGTTTCAATATTTTTTGAAACAGAAAAAATTATCAAGAAGAATTAAATATAATTTGACATCTTAGAGCAAATAAGCCATAGTACAAGTTCAAGGAATGTGTTCTCCGACTCGACTGACCGATCACAGTGTGACCTGTTTAGTAACAATGAATGTGACTGGTGTGGAAAAAAGAGGTTAAAGATCAAAAGGTACGATGAAGATTTCTTAATGGACTTCACTTTCACGGATTTTTACTGATACAGAAACATACGAAAAATATGCTATCTACAAGGGTAGCAAACACTTTATCAAATACAGTCCGGGAACTTGTAGTTGAAGCTCGTAAACTGGAAAGACGGTGGAAACTTTGACAACAGTTTGAGTTATAAAGGAAGGTTCGAAAAAGAGCAGGAACTGAAGTTCAAGTTCAACATATCCTGTGATTCAGTTATACCTAGCCTGACTTATCTTTTGTTGACAAGTTGTTTTCAAACTTTTAACTTTCGTCTGTCATAAAAATTTCTAATGCGGACGACCCTAAATAAGATAGAAAGAGCATATTCTCCCTTGCCATGAAGGCATCAGAAAGTTTTTGTTTAGATTGTTGTTTTAAGAGGACAAAATGATGTATGTTTGAATCGTTGTTAATTTTTACGATTTCGACAAACATCTTGTTTTAAACATATAGTAAGTTAACTGGGAAAACGTTACATCTGAGAATTAATCTAAATGTTAACAAAGCCAAATGTGGTAAAAATAAGGATCTGAAGTTCAGTTTAAAAGACTGAGGTTCCGCCGGTTCCAGTTGGTTACAAGGCAAATCTTAACAATATTTCGCAGTGAGTCTAATCGAGTTTTAAACATTGATGAATGAAGACATAGAAAAGCGCATTGTTTTACTTGGATCATCATTTTTCATTTTATGTGAGAAAAAACAAATACGACCGACAAACAAACTTTTAAAAAAAATTGAAAATCATAATTTCTTTGTTTTTAAAATGATGGTAAGTTCTAAAAAAATATTTCCCATACCTCAAGACAATCAACTTACCATTTGGTTGAAATCCGCTCCAGTGCAAGTGCCGGCTGTACCAATTTTTCATCGTAGTTTTGTGATCTTGTGTCATAATTTATGTACAACGTAAAATTTCATTGTGCTTGAATATCATTACTATTGCGTTTGCAGGTGTAGTACTTCATCATGAATGGGCGCCATGTTGCGATACAATGAAGGTGGCTTTAAGGTGGGGTAGCTGTAGACAGTTTTAGGTGAATTCCGGGGTGAAAGCTGATGATGTGAAACAGTGCGTGTTGGCAGGGTCAAAGCATGACGCCAAAGACTGTTAGGTTTAAAGATTCAAAACGAATCCTTGCTTCCATAAAATTTAAAACCTTCTTAGGTTATATCGTAATTTAATGGAATTATCAGTTACAAAAACAAAAATAGAACGATAAATATATTGTCTACTATTGTCTTTTCCAATTCGATTCAGCCGGTATATACATATTGGGACAAGTGACTGTATTGTGAAAATCTCCGTTTAGAAATGCAAAGACCTAAGACAAAATAGACAAGAAAAATTTACATTTTCGCGTTCGTCAGAGCGCATCCTAATCTTGGTGTTCCTTTGGTATAAAGCCACAAATTTTCGATGTATCGCCGACCACTGCCGATTAGCCTCCCCTATTAATTTTATCAGGGGCATCTTGGCCGGGAAATTGGACTCATTTCAAGTCGATTTCGTTTCCGTAAGTGACGAACGCGGATTTCTAATCAATGATTACCTCTAGTAATAATTTTAATTGTGGAGATCATTTAAAACAGCGAAATTTCACAGTAAGGTTATTTCCGCAAATTCTTTGTCATGTTTGTGTTTTAACAGTATTTGAATAACTAAGAGTTAAGTAAATGACAACCCGTTACAGGAGAAAGTGGGTGGTATTTGAAATAACTAAAAGTTTTTGAAGCTAAATTTTAAGGATGAAATGTGCAAACTTATTTTGGGTGTCCTGGAGCTGGAAATTACACGTCTGCTTGCCTTGACTGACCAGTGTCACAAGACCGTACGACGGGTTCAGGTGCACAACTGTTTGAGGTTACACCGTGTTCTTAACGTTCTTTGTTGACCTGTTATTGGTTTTTAAGTGATCGCAGGACCAAATTAATTTTTTTCAGGAGGAATTCATTTTACTTCATGATTATGGCAATAGTTGAATTACTGAAGAAAGAAATTTCTCATAAGATACCACGTGACCTTGGCCTTGGCTAAATCTATACAATTATTCTGTCAATTATTAAACGACTTTTTTCATAATGAAAGTTTATAAACACAAAATTTTACATCGATATATATTATTATTGTTTCATTGCACTTGTCTTTTCTTAAACTTCATCTGTCCTCTTTTCCTAATACCTAGAAGAACTTAGCCTGAATATCTTTGGGTCTTTCTGTTTTCAATAACATGCTTTCGGATCTTTTGGCATCACGTCGCGTATGTTTTCCAATACTTCTGACATGTTAAGGGACCTTCCTTTTATTTCCTGCTTTTCTTTCAACCACGTCTTCTCTTTGGTATCATAATAACGATCCAGGACGTTCAAAGACCACGGTACACCTGCATTGCAAAGATCTCGCGTAAAGTTGGTCGCAGGTTCAATCGCAAGTTTCACATTATCTCGTCCTTTATCGGTCCCATTTTTCTTCCAGAATTTTTGCCCGTCAGGCTTTTTGTTTGGACCTGAGGCATAAATATGCCACTCGGCCATTATATAGTCGTCGTTTTTGTAGATTTCTACCTGATGTTCCCCCTCCGGCTGGTTACAATCTTGTATAGGATACCAGTGTTCCTCTATGATGACCTCTACCACGTTTTCAATGTCAAATATCAAAACCAAAGACAATGTGCAAAAAGACATTTTAGTTTCGCGAAGCTTTTAGAATAATAGGTACTGAAACTTTTCAATAAAATACATTGCAGTGTATTGGCTTGGTAAAACCATGAAAGGTGATAATGCTCTTTTTTTTATCGTTTTTCCCCTTGCTTGACGGGATTGTGTACAAAAAAAGGTAGTCAACCGTCAACAAATTTTATTTAGACCGCGACCAAGCTGATGAAAATACAATGTGTGCGCTGCGAGTCTGCGGCACGCTCGGTTTGTAGAATAAAACAGGCACGGTATAACAAAGCTCGTAAACTGGAAAGACGGTGGAAACTTTGACAACAGTTTGAGTTATAAAGGAAGGTTCGAAAAAGAGCAGGAACTGAAGTTCAAGTTCAACATATCCTGTGATTCAGTTATACCTAGCCTGACTTATTTTTTGTTGACAAGTTGTTTTCAAACTTTTTACTTTCGTCTGTCATAAAAATTTCTAATGCGGACGACCCTAAATAAGATAGAAAGAGCATATTCTCCCTTGCCATGAAGGCATCAGAAAGTTTTTGTTTAGATTGTTGTTTTAAGAGGACAAAATGATGTATGTTTGAATCGTTGTTAATTTTTACGATTTCGACAAACATCTTGTTTTAAACATATAGTAAGTTAACTGGGAAAACGTTACATCTGAGAATTAATCTAAATGTTAACAAAGCCAAATGTGGTAAAAATAAGGATCTGAAGTTCAGTTTAAAAGACTGAGGTTCCGCCGGTTCCAGTTGGTTACAAGGCAAATCTTAACAATATTTCGCAGTGAGTCTAATCGAGTTTTAAACATTGATGAATGAAGACATAGAAAAGCGCATTGTTTTACTTGGATCATCATTTTTCATTTTATGTGAGAAAAAACAAATACGACCGACAAACAAACTTTTAAAAAAAATTGAAAATCATAATTTCTTTGTTTTTAAAATGATGGTAAGTTCTAAAAAAATATTTCCCATACCTCAAGACAATCAACTTACCATTTGGTTGAAATCCGCTCCAGTGCAAGTGCCGGCTGTACCAATTTTTCATCGTAGTTTTGTGATCTTGTGTCATAATTTATGTACAACGTAAAATTTCATTGTGCTTGAATATCATTACTATTGCGTTTGCAGGTGTAGTACTTCATCATGAATGGGCGCCATGTTGCGATACAATGAAGGTGGCTTTAAGGTGGGGTAGCTGTAGACAGTTTTAGGTGAATTCCGGGGTGAAAGCTGATGATGTGAAACAGTGCGTGTTGGCAGGGTCAAAGCATGACGCCAAAGACTGTTAGGTTTAAAGATTAAAAACGAATCCTTGCTTCCATAAAATTTAAAACCTTCTTAGGTTATATCGTAATTTAATGGAATTATCAGTTACAAAAACAAAAATAGAACGATAAATATATTGTCTACTATTGTCTTTTCCAATTCGATTCAGCCGGTGTATACATATTGGGACAAGAGACTGTATTGTGAAAATCTCCGTTTAGAAATGCAAAGACCTAAGACAAAATAGACAAGAAAAATTTACATTTTCGCGTTCGTCAGATCGCATCCTAATCTTGGTGTTCCTGTGGTATAAAGCCACAAATTTTCGATGTATCGCCGACCACTGCCGATTAGCCTCCCCTATTAATTTTATCAGGGGCATCTTGGCCGGGAAATTGGACTCATTTCAAGTCGATTTCGTTTCCGTAAGTGACGAACGGCGATTTCTAATCAATGATTACCTCTAGTAATAATTTTAATTGTGGAGATTATTTAAAACAGCGAAATTTCACAGTAAGGTTATTTCCGCAAATTCTTTGTCATGTTTGTGTTTTAACAGTATTTGAATAACTAAGAGTTAAGTAAATGACAACCCATTACAGGAGAAAGTGGGTGGTATTTGAAATAACTAAAAGTTTTTGAAGCTAAATTTTAAGGATGAAATGTGCAAACTTATTTTGGGTGTCCTGGAGCTGGAAATTACACGTCTGCTTGCCTTGACTGACCAGTGTCACATGACCGTACGACGGGTTCAGGTGCACAACTGTTTGAGGTTACACCGTGTTTTTAACGTTCTTTGTTGACCTGTTATTGGTTTTTAAGTGACCGCAGGACCAAATTAATTTTTTTCAGGAGGAATTCATTTTACTTCATGATTATGGCAATAGTTGAATTACTGAAGAAAGAAATTTCTCATAAGATACCACGTGACCTTGGCCTTGGCTAAATCTATACAATTATTCTGTCAATTATTAAACGACTTTTTTCATAATGAAAGTTCATAAACACAAAATTTTACATCGATATATATTATTATTGTTTCATTGCACTTGTCTTTTCTTAAACTTCATCTGTCCTCTTTTCCTAATACCTAGAAGAACTTAGCCTGAATATCTTTGGGTCTTTCTGTTTTCAATAACATGCTTTCGGATCTTTTGGCATCACGTCGCGTATGTTTTCCAATACTTCTGACATGTTAAGGGACCTTCCTTTTATTTCCTGCTTTTCTTTCAAACACCTCTTCTCTTTGGTATCATAATAACGATCCAGGACGTTCAAAGACCACGGTACACCTGCATTGCAAAGATCTCGCGTAAAGTTGGTCGCAGGTTCAATCGCAAGTTTCACATTATCTCGTCCTTTATCGGTCCCCTTTTTCTTCCAGAATTTTTGCCCGTCAGGCTTTTTGTTTGGACCTGAGGCACAAATATGCCACTCGGCCATTATATAGTCGTCGTTTTCTTAGATTTCTACCTGATGTTCCCCCTCCGGCTGGTTACAATCTTGTATAGGATACCAGTGTTCCTCTATGATGACCTCTACCACGTTTTCAATGTCAAATATCAAAACCAAAGACAATGTGCAAAAAGACATTTTAGTTTCGCGAAGCTTTTAGAATAATAGGTACTGAAACTTTTCAATAAAATACATTGCAGTGTATTGGCTTGGTAAAACCATGAAAGGTGATAATGCTCTTTTTTTTATCGTTTTTCCCCTTGCTTGACGGGATTGTGTACAAAAAAAGGTAGTCAACCGTCAACAAATTTTATTTAGACCGCGACCAAGCTGATGAAAATACAATGTGTGCGCTGCGAGTCTGCGGCACGCTCGGTTTGTAGAATAAAACAGGCACGGTATAACATTTTGTCTTCTAAAACCTGCTCCTGTAACGACAGGTACCTCACAATAATTCGCTCCACAAAGGTGGGGATACATAAACGCCCATCGAGTTGATGGAAAGTTAATACAAGAACTGTAAAGATTTCAAAGGAGACAGCCAGGGTGGCGGCGGAATTAAAGAAGGATTTTTGTGATCTATAGCTCTAATTGATGATCGCGCGACGGCTAGGAGTTTAAAGGGATTGCTCTATTTATGCCCCTCCTTTTGTTTCGCTCTCATAGCGAGACAAAAAGCGTGCGTCACAGTTATTGATCGCGGTATAAATGTCAGTTACCCGACTCTCTCCTAACTGGGGCCTTTAATTTTCTAAAATTAAAAAGAGTTTTGGCTGAAACGGTTTTAAAAACCGTGCTTTCGACGATCTAAACAACACAGCAAGGAGTAGACCGCTCGATTTTAAGAACATTGAAAATAAGAACTAATTTTTTTGGCATAAATCCGTTTCTTAAATCGATATTTATAGTCAATGACTAAAATTGCACATGCGTCCCTGGTTTTGCAGGGAAAAACTGCAACAATAATTCAGTCACGCCGTGCTTGTTTTCAAGTGAATGACTGCCTCCGCTCCCACATCCCATCGAAGTTTCTAACACGTGGTGAAGTAAGTGGTCGCACGACTAGAAGCCCTCAGCTTTTGCAAATTCCCTTATTCTGGTAAGGACATTCTGTAAAGTAAATCTGTGGAACAGTTTGGACAATTCCTTTAAACTCTGCAACTCTGTTCTTAATTTTAAGCGTAAACTTAGAGCCAAGTTATTCTCCACTTAGAGCCATCTTATTCTCCACTTTCCTTTCCCTCTTTAGTGAGTATCATGAAAGTTTGTATCGGATAATAGTGAGTTTAATAACATCAAATCTCACTCCTGTCCTCCGTCTAGTAGTTTTTTTCTTACTATTTATTTGTGTTCTTCTCATGACGTATAAATCTATTTTAAGCAGCCTTGACCAAAGGCTCACTCTCCAGCCGGGGGTATCTCGATGTGCTAGTGCGCGTGCGTGTCGATTCTCTTTGGTGGTAAAATTCATTTGAAAAAGATTAATGTACTTAATCCCTCAAGCTTTGAGCCACAAAACCTCCATAGCCACCGCCTCCAGTCCGTCAGGGGCCAGCCGAAGGAAGCCATTGCTGTAAGCCTTTCCTCAAGTACTCGACTTGTTGAGGACGCATCCTTTCCTAAGCTACATCCTACCCACTCTGCTACTCAACGAAAATCGTTTCTTTAGATCCGTGAGACGCTCGCAGATGACATTACCGCTTGCATTGAGAGCTAATAAGTTGAGCTGAGACAGGATATATTTCCTTGTTTGTGCCCCGTTAGGGAATTTATTGTTCAACTACATTTAACAGAAAATACACGAAGCGAATATCCTACGATAATTTGAACATTTTGTTTTCATTGAGTATAGTCTTTGCTGTTAAGAATCAAATGTTTTCCAGCGCAGGGGGGAAAGCACAAAGCCTACCAAGGACCACATATGATTACTTCAACGCTTTAATTAATTGGGGTCGAGATAATGATTTCACACATGCATAATATCAGGTCTCGCTCGATGGTACCGTCTCCAACCGTTTTAGTGTGGTCAGGTGAAAAATATGCAAAAAAGCCAGTGTGAACGAAAATACTTTGCTTTGCATTCTTCGAGATTTAAAAGGGGGACTTTGAAAACGCATTATGTTTGGTATGTTTGAACTCCAGGTACCAGTTGTTCAAAAGGTTGGATGACTGTATTTACGATTTCGTTTGTTGTGATTTCCCAAAAGCGCAAGATGCTTAATCTCAACACAGTACAAGAGTCTGGAATGGAGTTACATGACCAACGACAAACGGGGGCAAATGCAACTGACTACTGAAAAAACGGGATTACCAGTAGGAAAATATCACCGTCAACTAATTAACTTGCATTTTTCACCTGAGATTTACCGATAACCTACAATGGCGGGAATTTTTAACTGACAACGGACAACAAAATTTGGATTCCCCAAACCTTCCAGTAGACAAAAAAAATATACATGGAATTTGATCTTCGGCAATGGCTTTAATAAACATCATAGTAAATACTTGTTGAGTAAAATTTTTAAAACCTTGAAATTGATTCTAATATTAGTAGTATAGGGCGCACCGGTTAGATCACTTTTTGGCGAGCAATCTCATTAACGAGGGCAGGAATACAGTAACGTCGTCGATGCCATAGCCTTTTGTCTTTTCTGATGTGGCTTGCCCCGTTGGACAGGTTTGCTAGTTGTTTCTTGCTCGATAAATGTCTTGTTTTTCGCCTGGCTCAAGACTAAAAGATCTACATAGTGCTGCCTGTACTGCTGACAGGGATGTACTTGAAAGTAGGAATATCATTGATAACTAGTTCTGAGAGGAAGACAAGGGCATATATATTTTTTTATTGATCAATTTTACTGGAAAAACAGGCTAGACAAAAGGAAATACTTGTGACCGATACTAAGATTGTGAAAGCGGAAAGAGTGGAGCTGGTCTCTTAAGTGAGCGGATTCCTTTTTTCTAAACAATTAGTTATTATATTATAAGCCAATCAAAACCAGAAGCCTATTTACCACTTTTTAAATGATTTGTTATATGTGACGGATGAAACCAATGCCTACTTGAGAGTCACGGCACTGATGATTTCTTTAGTTGTACCTCAACACTGAAACCATTCTTGAGATTTGGAAAGGTGACTTTTAAGCCACTGGTATCCACCCATACGTTTGGTTTGTAACTATCAGGGTTGCCGTGAGTCTGGAGGGAAACGAAGCTTTTTTGTACCTTTTTTCTCAAGGTAACCTCAATTTCACGCTCTCTGCTTGACGACTGGTACAACTCCGCTTGCCCCACGTCATCAGAATTGGTCAAAGGAGTTGCCCCTGACTTCCTTGCAAGATTTAAGCTTGGAGAGCTAATGCTGAGGTGAATAAACTCTGACGTTTCCTCGACCATGATAAGGCAATCTCCCGAGTTGACTTCCGCCAAAGGACCAAGGCTAGTAAGTGATACGGGTGCCACTGAAGGGAAAAGGACGTAGCCAGTGATAGAATGGCTGAGAGCGGATGTGGGAGATGACTTTGTCGACCTATGAAACTGCACGATATGAGCAACGTCATCCTTTTGTAAAACTTTGTAAACTTTCGATCCTGTAGATTGCTGAGCATTTGTAAGGTCAGTTGGTGTTGCATCATATGATGTAGTAGGAATTAAGACTGCGTACTCGTATTCAGATGAGATTCCAGAGGGCGAATCACCGTGATCAAACCATGCAGTACCGTATATCCCTGTTGTTGGGCTCGATGCTGCTCCGCTCTCTAGCCAGGAATCCTGATTAGTAGCGTGGACTTTTAATAAACCTTTACTGCCATCTGGTATGTAGTAAAAGTTGTCTTTGGTGTCAGTGAGTGTTGTATAAAGTTGTCCTGAGACTGAAGGAGTTACTACAGCAGCAGATGTCGTTACAGCACCGTTTATCTTAATGGACAGCCCGCCTGTAATTTTGTCTTGAAAGAGCGTTGTTTGAACAATTCTCCCATCAGTGTTTGATGCTGAAATGTCACTTCCTAGGCAAACCAGCAAATTTTCAAAAAAGAAAACTGATTTTTTAAATTCAAAAGTTACGGAGTGTCGCCAATCCGCTGTCTCCAGTTCGTAAGTTGGCTGTTCAAAATCCATGCCAAAAACGCCATTCTTCAATGTGCTTGTACCCTTAAACGTCAGACCCCCAGCAAGGTTTTTTGGATTGTAAAACCTTCCCTTTGGTAATTTTAAGTCGTCAAAGTTCTTTGTACCCGAGGAAGGATCAGTTTCTAAGGCAATAGTTGTTGCTCCAGGGACCTTGGCCCAATCCCAGCCATTTTCAACGTCATGTACTTCAAGGTTTCTTTCACTGTTGGCGATCAGAAGAGCACCATGACTACCAAACATTCCAAAAACATTTTCGTCATTGGCTTTCTCAAAATCCCAGAGAAAACTATTAAATCCCTTCACTGTTACAGCCCAATCTTTGCGTCGATGGATGGATAGAACGGCAAAATTCTTGGACCAGTGACCTTCAGGGGAGGACTCGGGAGTAATGCCTTTGTTTTCCGCGATGGTTTTTACCTACATTCGATGGATCATATGAGCATATTAAAACATATCATGTCAAAACTACTCTACCCTACCCTTTGCTCTTGCAGAAATAACAATAAATTTAACATCGGCAAAAATTCGGGATATCTGATTTGTATGTGGATATTTCGTAGAATTATAGTCGCCTGAACAGGTCCATCAACACGTGACCACAGGATATTTTTTACTTTTCCCAAACATTTGCTCTTTTTTGAGCCAGCAACAGTCTGAATGTATTGTGCAAAATAAATACTTAGATCATATTCATTCAGCTTCTAAATACAATGGAATGAGGATGAAAGAAAAGTCTTTGAACTTTGCTGGGAAGTTAGTTAACCTTAATGTGGGAGCCGAAAGCTATTTCAAAATACATATAGGAGCTAGCACTTACCGCTTCCATGATGTCCAGAGAGCCCAAACTGTTGTAATAGTACTTCCCTTTGTGACCTCCATCTTCCAAATAACTGTTCGCGGATGGATCGTTATATAACCTCAAAAACATTTCCGGTTTATTGGCGCTAGCTACACAGCCACCAGCTATTTCTGAAGGCCCAATAGGGGGATGTGAAACGCTGATATAAGCAAAGGCAGGTAAAAGACCTTTTAGAATTAACTTGTTAGCATAATTTGGCATACGTCCGTTAACACTGTTTGGTGTGGAATACTTCACTGCAATGATACGCATAGTTTCAAGTCCCCGCCTGATGTTGTTTTCGGACGACGCCGATAAAGCGAATGCTGTTCCTTCAAGAAGGTAGTGAACCAAGGCTGCGGTATGTAACGCCTGCGGCACGTAAGCGGATCCATAAAAGGCTTTATGGTGATGCCCAACAAAGTCAGGTTTGATGACTCCTCCGAGACCTTCGTTCACAGCAAGAGCATTGTTCATCCACCGAACTAAAGCATCCATGTCCCGAATTTTGGCTTTGAAATCATCATCAGTGTTACTTGGCATTATCAGGACAATCATCAACCTAAATAACATCAGCGTGATCATGCGGTCAGCAGTCGTTCCTTTGATTTCAAACGTCGGTGATTGATAAATCTCTCCAAAGTCGTTGTACCATTTGGCTGTCTTTATCAAGTCCAACAATCTAGCATTATTTTTTGGTTTCCGCAGAGAGTCTTTTAGAAGAAACAAAGAGTGCATAAATCCAGCACCATCTACATTCCATTCGTGGTCTAAACATCCAAGACCACTTCCGTCTGCAAGGCCTTGTTGTTTTACATAATCTAGAAGGTTGTTAATCTTGTTTAGACGGTGAATGTTGAGTTGTTTTATCGCATTTTCTACCTGTTCTGAGCTAATGGGTCCAGACGCAGGAAGGTAGCTTTTAAATTGGCTTACCATATTTCTGTATCTCCCTGCAATGGCTCTGCAGGCATCGTTTTTGGCTGCTGGATTGTTAAGATCATTCAGATAGGCAGCGACAGTGTCTCTTATTTCTGGAATCCGTGACCTTATATAATATTCTAGCGATAAACGAAAGAGGATTTTTTCCATTATCTCTCCAAACTTCTTTGGATATCTACAGTCTCTGCAGAAGAGAGGTGGTCCAATAACTCTATGACTTGAATCGAAATCTAGAGCGTCATAATCTTCATGTGCCTTCCTAAAAGGTCCTGACAGCGAATTCCATCGCTTTTCAAGGAAGCTACCAGCTGGAAATTTAGGCGTAGTTTTCGCCTCATCGCAGTACCAGTTGTTCAGACGGCTTTCAATCATTTCCAAACTTATTTTTTAGAGACGTCAATTGTTAGAGGTGAGGGTGGAATGGTTTGTTGGCTCCACTTGTAGGTCATTTGCCATGTGTTACTGGGATCGTACAGATCCAGGCCAAATGGACTGATGGGAGGAACAACTTTGTCACGTGATTGTTTTGCCATGCTCTTGACAAATTGGAGTAAATCAATGTAAATTGTATCGGCCTCCCTAAGTACAAAGTTCACCTCATCGACTTTAGCCGGTCTATCCAAACTAGTACTGGTCAGTTTGAATTCTTGAAACTTTACCCAAACTCCTCTCCACCCTTCAAAGGCCAAATGAGCCGTGAAAGTGGCGACAAGAATGCCAGAATTTTTAAATTCTACTTTTAGGGTTTTTCCAACTGATGGCCGTTCTTTGTAAAACCAGACTTTTACTCCTCCCTTTCTAAGCCAATTGGTTGGAATTTCTGAGCCCGATGAAAATTTTAGTTTCAAATTTGAGTCAAGAGAACCACTGCGAGGTTCCCATTTTAAAGAATATCTTCCGTGCTTGACAGTCACCGGGTTAGTTGTCTTAGCGGATTGCGTCACGGTTCCAGGAGAACCGTGAAAACAAGCCACTTCTGATGCAGTCTCAAAGTCAAATAGCTTGTCATAACGGTAGGTGCAAGGGGATGGGCCTAGGAAAGAAAATGAAACACACTCAGGTTAATGCAGGTGTAGGGTGGATACCAACATTACATTGTCCGGTTTGAGAAAAGTGCACAAAAGTTCCAGGACCAAACAAATCTAAAATTGTTCTTTATTCTTCACCGTAATTTGCATAGTAAGTAATTTATCCCAGTGAGTTGGACCAGAAAAATGTTAAACCAAATTAGGAGAGTATGGGAAATCCAAATATTTAGAGACCATAATATGCGTATGATTCTTAATGTCAACATTAAGGAAACAGTGAACACATATGCAACAGCTAATATTAAAGTTCAGCACTATAATTGAGAAAAGAAGGACAAAGGATGAAATGGTCCTTGTGTTACGCAGTGAACAATTGGAGGGCATATTTCATTGAATGGTCTTAAATTAAAAGCCAGTGAAGAAGACTTGTTTAACGTGCGTTTATTGCAGAATTTTCGTGGGGTTAGGATTTTATGCTACTACTACGCCGATTAATATAAAGGTACCTACTGGGTTGAGCTCTTGTTGCCGGAACGATAGACCAGACAAAGCAGACCAGTTGAAGAGCAAGAAACTTCAATATGATCAGTCTCATACTTGTACCTAGAATGATGTGAAATAGGGTAATAAATTAACAAACCTGGAACCTCAGTTACCTTTATCTTTTTACAATTGGCACAAAAAACATGCTGAAAATCCGAAAATATTTTGAGAGAAAGGGCAATTGCCCTCTGAATGATTTTCTCTGCTTGGTTTCCACCGAAACGGAAGAAGAAGTGCAAAAGGGATAGGCATGTTTTTGGAAAGTAACGTCGCGTTAGTAACCCTAGGCCGTAGCAGGCCTCGGAAAGAGATTATAATGCTGCTCTAATTTCTTTATTGAATTTTGGCTATTATTCTACTCATTTTTGTTTCTATTAAATTTGACATCTTAGTGGAAATAAGCCATAGCACAAGTTGAAAGAATGTGTTCTCCGACTCGACTGGCAGATCACAGTGTGACCTGTTTAGTAACAATGAATGTGACTGGTGTGGAAAAAAGAGGACAAAGAATAGAAGGTACGATGAAGATTTCTTAATGGACTTCAATTTCACAGCTTTTAACTGATACAGAAAAATAAGAAAAATACGCTATCTACGAGGCTAGCAAACACTTAATTAAATACAGTCCAGGAACTTGTCAGTTCGTAACCTGAAAAGCCGGCTGAAGTTCAAGTTCAAGACATCCTGTGATTTATTAATACCTAACTTGACTTATCTTTTGTCGATGAGTTGTTTTCAAACTTTTTAAATTGGTCTGTTATAAACATTTCTAACGCAGACGACCCTAAACAAGATAGAAAGAATACATTCTTCCTTGCCCTTAGGCATTAGAAAGTTTTTGTTTAGATTGTTGTTTTATGAGGACAGAATGATGTGTGTTTGAATCGTTGTTAATTTTTACGATATCGATAAGCATCTTCTTACAAACATATATTGCGTTAACTGGGAAAACTTTACGTCTGAGAATTAATCTAAATGCTAGCACAGCCAAACGCGGTAAAAATAAGGATCTGAAGTTCAGTTTAAAAGACTGAGGTTCCGCCGATGGTACAGATGGTTACAAGGCAAATCTTAACTTGACAATATTTGGTAGTGAGTCTAATCGAGTTTTCAGCAGCGATGAATCAAGACCTAGAAAGGGGATGATCATGTTTCATTTTATGTGAGAAAAAACAAAAACGACTGACAAACAAACTTTAAAAAAACTTTAAAAATCATTATTTCTTTGTTCTCACAATGATGGTAAGTTCCAAAAAGTTCCCCATACCTCAAGACTCTCAACTTACCATTTGGTTGAAATCCGCTCCAGTGCAAGTGCCGGCTGTACCAATTTTGGATGGTAGTTTTGTGACCTTAGGTCATAATTTATGGACAACGTAAAATTTCATCCTGCTTAAATACCAATACCATTGCGTTTGCAGGTGTAGTACTTCATCATGAATGGACTTCATGTTGGGATAAAATGGTGGTGGCTTTAAGGTGGGGTGGCTGTAGACAGTTTTAGGTGAATTCTGGGGTGAAAGCTGACGATGTCAAACCGCGCCTTGTTGGTAGGGTCACTGCATGACGCCAAAAACTGTTAGGTTTAAAAATTCAAAACGAATCCTTCTTTCTAAGTTATATCGTAATCTAATGGAATTATCAGTTGCAAAAACTAAAAATTGCGTTTTAATTGACCAGAGTGTCTTGTTATTCCTTCTATATTTAACTGTTGTCCTCTCTTCCTCAACAAATAAAAGCAAAGCGAATAGAACGATAAATATATTGTCTGCTATTGTCTTCTCCAAGTCGATTCAGCCGGTATATACATATTGGGACAAGAGACTGTATTGTGAAAATCTCCGTTTAGAAATGCAAAGACCTAAGACAAAATAGACAAGAAAAATTTCCGTTCGTCAGATCGCATCCTAATCTTGGTGTTCCTGTGGTACAAAGCCACAAATTTCCGAGGTGTCGCGGATGACTGTCCATTAGCCTCCCCTATTAATTTTATCAGGGGCATTTCGGGCGGGAAACTGGACGCCTTTCAAGTCGATTTCGTTTCCGTAAGTGACGAACGGGGATTCCTAATCAATGATTACCTCTAGTAATAATTTTAATTGTGAAGATTATTCAAAACAGCGACATTTCAATAAGTTAAAGTCTATTTCTGCAAATTTCTTTCTCATGCTTGTGTTTTAACAGTATTTGAATAAATTATAACTAAATGACAATCCATTACAGGAGAAAGTGGTGGTATTTGGAATAACTAAAAGTTTTTGAAGCTAAATTTCAAGGATGAAATGTGCAACAAACCTATTTAGGGTGTCATAGAGCTGGAAATTACGCGTCTGCTCGATCGCCATGACTGATCGTCCAATGTCACACGACTGTACGGTAGGTTCAGGTGCACAACTGTTTGAGGTTACGCCGTGTTTTTAAAGTTCTTCGTTGACCAGTTATTGGTTTTTAATTAAATGCAGGACCAAATTATTTTTTTCAGGAGGAATTCACTTTATTTCATGATTATGGCAATAACTGAATTACTGAAGAAAAGCATTTCTTAAAAGATACTATGTGACCTTGGCCTTGGCTAAATCTATACAATTATTCTAACACAGAAAATATTACATCGATATATATTATTATTGTTTCATTGCACTTGTCTTTTCTTAAACTTCATCTGTCCTCTTTTCCTAGTACCTAAAACTTAGCCTAAATATCTTTGGGTCTTTCCGTTTTCAATAACATGCTTTCGGATCTTTTGGCATCACGTCGCGTATGTTTTCCAACACTTCTGACATGTTAAGGGACCGTCCTTTTATATCCTGCTTTTCTTTCAACCACGTCTTCTCTTTGGTATCATAATAACGATCCAGGACGTTCAAAGACCACGGTATACCTGCATTGCAAAGCTGTTCCACGAAATAGCGAGCAAAATTGATGACCTCTTGCTGATTCAGGTCTCCGTTTTTGTTGTCTTGTGGCATCCATGCACCGAGATAGGTCAGAATTCCCCTATCTCGCGTAAAGTTGGTCGCAGGTTCAATAGCAAGTTTCACATTATCTCGTCCTTTATCGGTCCCATTTTTCTTCCAAAATTTTTGCCCGCCAGGCTTTTTGTTTGGACCTGAAGCATAAATATGCCACTCGGCCATTATATAGTCGTCGTTTTCGTAGATTTCAGGCTCGATTTTTTCCAGATCTTTTGCTGTTTTTCCTGGCGATCCAAGGATGAGAATTCGTTGATCGTTCTTTCCACCTGTCGCACGGATTGCCTTCACCACATCGGAAGTCCAATTGTTGTACTTGTCTGATCTCTCACGAAGACTTTCGCCGCAATTGTTTCCACAATCATCTGTTCCCAGCTCTGTAAAGAGGTTAAAACTCAGTTTATAGTCCTTGTCTTTTAATTCGTTTGCCACAGCTGTCCACCAAGCCACGTAAGCTACGCGATCATCTTCAGACGCAAATGCCTCAGCGTGGTGGTGGATCCACGAAATAATTGGGATCACTTTGTTTTTTAAACAATGATCAACGACAGTTGTTAAGTTTCCAAGAAACCAAGTGAAGTTTATCGCCGTGTAATCGTACGAGTAGAGATCTGCTCTGCATCGTAATCTGAGGTTAGAGAAGTTTTTGTTGCGGACATCGATGATATTTTGTTCACTGTACTTCGCCATCGGCTCGGCTGTTTTAAACCAGTTTGTTGAAAATCCTGGACCAATTAGTTTTTGGTATCGTTTCGGGGAGATCGCATTAGATTGTACAACCATAAGAAAATTGCCGAAGAGCAGACTAATGGCAAGTAGAATGACAAACTTTGTGGCCGAAGCCACTGAAATCGACGGCAATTTGGACATCTTTGTAAATACGTATTTAACTTAAGAGTTAACGGTGAAACTAAACTATTTGTAATTCTCTGTCACATAGATCGAACTATAAGAGTATCTGTCATAAACTAACGGTTTACAATGAAGGCTTAAAGTAATGACAATCGAACAAAACAATTTAGAAATCTTACATTGTACGAAATGTCAGAAAATTTGACAAGACGAATGACATCTTGGAGTTGTATCACTGGTATTACTAACCCCTAGAAGGTTTACCAAGCGTAAGGGTCGTACTGGGTAATATTGGTAACAATGGTCGTGGTGCTATGAATGGAACGCAGCGAGGTCCATACGACAGAACGATCGAGGGCCTATATTACCTAGTAGGGTCCTGAGCCTCGTTCTGAGTAACGGACATCAGTAACAGGATCATTGTATGGCGTCAATTTTTCAATTAAATAATTTTTCAATGAAAACCACACGCTTCCGATTTGCATTTAAGGTAACTCCCAGTACCATGCATTTCATGTCAAGAGATCCTCTTCCACAAGACCGAATGAAGGACTCAACTCCGCCCCTAGTTTCCTCCCATTTTATTTTCGTGGTCTCAGTTTCTTGGAGCCTGAAACAGACTATATTCTTCAAGATGTGACATAAAATTTGGCTGTTCCTGACAAAAAGAACATCCTTAAAGTGTCCTTCTAAAGATTCAATGGTTTCGTTTGCAAACAACGTCAATCCAACAAGTTACCTGCTAGTTTTCCAAATCTCAAAATCACCTGAAACTTGAACATTTGGACGGGATGGAAACATAGAACAAATTTCATTTCTCGAACTGTATCAAATTTTCCTCTAAGAGACTGAGATTGGGTGGAAAGTGAAAAAAAATCTAAACGGGAAATGCTAATGACACCTTTTGAACCTCTAGAACAGAACAACAAAAAATTTATGAAGTAAAGCCGGAATTGAATTAATACAAAAATTAGTATCTGACGATACTATGAACTGCAAAAGAACTTTATTTCCAGTTGAGACAGAAAAGCAATCAATTCTTGACACAATCTAAGGATTTTCAAACCTTGGAGGTAGACACTAGAGGCTAGTATTTGGAGACGCACTCCATTCAAATGACACATTTAACCCGTCTACAGGTATGAATCAATTACTTGGAAATAGTTGGCATTGTGCCTCAGATAAGAAAAAAATAGATTGGCTTTCAAACGGTATTTCTACCACGGCGGCTGATTTTCAAATTAACGTTAGGCTGTTTCAGCTTGTCCAGTCGTTTATTTTGCTATCAAATCGCTTCTGTCAGTTGCTGTGTACGTGTTTTTTCTTTTATATATATATTTTTGTTTTTTCTTATTACTCTTTCGCTTTTTTATGTGCGTGTGTTCGATCTTGACGTGCATTTGTATTTTTAAAATATTCAAATGTAATACAGCGAAAGCTCTCTAAATTAGTCCTTTAGGCTCTTAGAGCAAATGTTGTAATAAATATTTTTTGTAAAAAAAAAAAACAAAAACAAAACAAACAAAACTATACTTTAGCTGAAGCAAGTATTGATCCTCCGACCTGTTTTTTCTGGTACCCATCTCGTAACCACTCCCTGAAGCAGGTATGGTGCGAAAGGGGTGCCTTCCTCTTCGAAAACATAATTTTTTTTTAAATTGGTTTTTCTCTTTTCTCCTATTTCTAGTGGGAAGGACTTCCTTTCTAGTAAAATATTAAGCTCTGTAAGGCTTAAAAAACCAGTTTTTACATTCTTCAAAAATTGGCCGAAATCTATGAAAAGTTAAACTTAATCAAGTTATCCTGGGTTTAATGAACTTTAAATGAATTTGCTTACACAGCTAGGTGTGAGTTTTTACATAATGCTTTGATCTATTTTGTTGTAGTGGTAGAATATCAGGTTTAACATTTACTTATACTCGTACGCTGCATCCATTTAATACTTGATGTGAAGGAATCACAGAAAGAAATCTCTGTTACAAGCGTCCAATGACAATCCTCTTATTTTATTTACGTTGTGAGTATCTAGACAGGTCCTCAAATTCAACAAATTTTGTAATTTATATTTCATTACTTTCATTGAAACAAAATCAAGGGTAAGAGTGTAAGAAAAATTGAAAAACACGCCTCGAAAAGCAAGAAGGCAGTTCTTCTGAGGGGCAGTTTTTTTAGAGTGCTCTCAAAACTTCGAAAAACGTAAGTATAGTACTATTAATCATTATTTTTGACCAACTATGACCATTGAGTGTTGTGTTTCTTAGTTTAAGTTTGCAGAATTAATCTTAAGTGCATCATGTAAATTTGCTGGACATCGCTATCTTGAGACCTTTCTGCTGGTAGGCTCTTCACATTTTAGGCAATTTACTGCACTAAGGTCAGACACAGTCCCGGAGAGTACTCTTGGGAATTCTTTGTGGGGGTGTGCCGCCCGGTTCTCCAAATCCTGACCCTCTTTCAGACCAAAAAATATCATTTTCCATACTCGTTTATAGACCTAGTCTCTAAGAATTTATGTCATCATTACTTAGATTACAACGCCAAATAAAAGAGTTCCTCAAATCCACTTCGTATTCGTATATTACTATTTCTTTTTTTATTCAATTGAATTGAAACGACAAATACGTTCATACACTCCCGAAGCTCCCTCAAAAACCATACACGATTCCAGACCAAAATGGGCAAAATGTATACCCGTTCTCAGACCCAAACGGCGCAAAAAACATACCCTTTGAGGCTGCACATATTTACATGGCTTATATAAGGGACTACCCCTGGGACCCGTATCAAGATAACAAAACCGCAAAGCCCAGCCGTGAGGTAGTTGTTACATGGGTAAAATTAGTACCAGCTTACGCTTGAATTATATACATATATAATTAGAGTATCAAATTGCTCCCAAAGAAACCGTTTGAACTGAATTTTTGACATGTTTTATTGTGCTATTTTTACTGAACAGAAAAGAAGAGAAACCGAAATATGCTGTTTGGTGTTTTACTGCAAGCATGTCTACTGCTGCTGCACGTGAAGTTAGCTTTTGCCTCAGGTAAAACGCTACGTATCGCTATCAAGTCTAAAACGACCTTTCACTTGACTCGTGACATGTCGAGGCTCCTGAAGGGTAACCCCTCCGAGGTCCTCTTCAGCATAATAACCCTTAAAAATAAGAATATTTTTCTCGTGTTAAATCCTTACAATTTTGTAAGCATTAAAAAATCCATAAAATATTCTTATTGCAATCAATTTAAAATAATGACCTACTCAATATGTGTACTAGAACCCTTTTAAAACGATGAGAAGCTTTTTGAGCTGAATGATATTTGAATTCTATTGAAATCATTAGGTCTTTTCGTAGCTCGGTCTACGGGGCCCGAAAAAGCGGCCTCGCGGAGGCCGTCAATCGCCCGAACTTGACAGTCGCCGTATAGCCAAACTAATGATCCAATGAAACTGAAATTTATATTTTCATTACTAGAATACCTAGGGTGGTGTACAGAATTTTTGTTTTGGTTTTTTTTAATAATTTTGATTTCCCCACCTCTGGTCGATATTTACAGACATCTGCTCTCTCTTCGGGGATGCAAGTTGAGGCGACAGAAATGGACCTGAGCAAAATAGATGAAAGATCGGTCGATATTGATCATTCAATGCAGTTTGAGCCGTAGATTGGCTCCAACCTTTCCTTTTCAGTCATTCCAAACTACCTCCTATTTTGCTCCGTCTTTCAAAAAGATTTGTTGAGGTAGTACCGCACGTTAAGAGATCTTGGAATACTGCTAGCATACTAGAAAGTGTTACGTAAACTCATTGTCTTCAATCCCGCTTGTTTCAATGTTACCAGTTGTTTAAACGGGACCCAAATTACCTCTGAAAGCCTTCCCAGTGGACCAGTACTTCTTCCTTTGAACCTATTTCTCGGTACACTAAACGGTACAACTTTTTCTGTACGAGACAAGTGGTCTCCATCACTTTCTGTAGCTTTCATTCATAAAAGGTCCCTTGGATTAAATCACTGTCTACTTTCATCAGGCGACAAACTGTTGGATCTCGGTGAAATCGCTGAGCAATGATAAGAGTCTTCACCGTCCAAGATGGCAAGAGACCTCTCTCTCAACTATTCTTTTATGCCAACTGATCTTGACTCGATCTGCAACATTGAATTTATACTTTGCTGGTGTTGAGTGATTCCCATGTGCGGTTCTTGTGACATCTGGCTGTTAACATCAGGAGTTTTCAATTGCATAGTTTGAGTAGTATACTCTACGCGCTGCACCAGTATCACGTTATTAATTTTCTCTTCTAGCGCAATTGGTGAGATTGCTGAACCTAGCAAGCCTCTATTTTTTTCTTTTCGCAATTGCATTAATTGCTTATTTAACTGTGATGATCTTCTCTTCTTTTATTTCTTCATCCCACAGTTTAAATGTTTAAAAATTATATTCTTCATTTTATCTTCGTCTTTCCCGGGTATATTACGATCCAATTTAATTGCCTTTCTCAGTTTTTCTTGCTACCTCAATTGGTTAGAGCGCTGCACCAGTATTGCAAAGGTCAGGGTTCCAATCTCGGCAAGGCCGGAGTTTTTTCAACCTTTCTTTTCGCAACTGCTTGAGGTGGCTTACTACAGTTTTCAGATAAAACTATCGACTTTTTCAGATTAGATCGTTTTGAGCAGCTGAAGGTCTCTACTGAACTTTTTATCACTGCAATTCATGTAAATTATCATTTTATCTTCTAAAAACATTTTATTGGGTAGTACAAAGCGAAATATAGTGACCGAGCACCCGAAAAAGGGGACTGGAAACGAGACCTTTAAAGGCTCTGACCTTAAAACCTAGCCGTACGACCCCATCTGAAAATTTCAGGATTTATTCAGTANCCACAGTTTAAATGTTTAAAAATTATATTCTTCATTTTATCTTCGTCTTTCCCGGGTATATTACGATCCAATTTAATTGCCTTTCTCAGTTTTTCTTGCTACCTCAATTGGTTAGAGCGCTGCACCAGTATTGCAAAGGTCAGGGTTCCAATCTCGGCAAGGCCGGAGTTTTTTCAACCTTTCTTTTCGCAACTGCTTGAGGTGGCTTACTACAGTTTTCAGATAAAACTATCGACTTTTTCAGATTAGATCGTTTTGAGCAGCTGAAGGTCTCTACTGAACTTTTTATCACTGCAATTCATGTAAATTATCATTTTATCTTCTAAAAACATTTTATTGGGTAGTACAAAGCGAAATATAGTGACCGAGCACCCGAAAAAGGGGACTGGAAACGAGACCTTTAAAGGCTCTGACCTTAAAACCTAGCCGTACGACCCCATCTGAAAATTTCAGGATTTATTCAGTACTAAGAAATAATTGTTTTAAGAGAGAGAGAGAGAAAAATCCTATAGACAGAATTTTTGCAAAAGCCAAAAATGTGGAATTTTCTCTCTTTTTTTAACAATTAAAAAACTGTCAATTGGATTTGTTTGAAAAAGTGTTTACGGTTTCGTCTTTATGTTCCCTAACAATCCTCAAAATTTGAACCCAGTTTCGTACGGCTAGGTTGTGAGAAATTTGGCGTGGAAATTGTCCTTTTACGACCTCAATGGACGAAAGCATTGCGCATGCGTCATCGTTCGTAGGTAAGGGTTAATATGCAAATAAGGCTCTTGCAGCCATTCTGTCGTTACCCTGACCTATGACGCGGCGGAGTGGCTCTAAGCAGGATGTATCCGTTTTTAATTTCCATTGTAGTCCAAACATTCATAAGAGTATGTGCATCGTTAAGGAAATTAAAAATACTATACATATTTGTACACAGATTGTAAAAACCTAAAGAGAAGCAGATGATCATGAACTAACGTAGACTTTCAAAAAGGCCTTCACTAACGTAAAATGTCACAGAAATATAGGAATCTGTTGCAGAAAAGAACTTCAGGAAAATCAGTCTACGCTTCATTTGACAAAATAGTACATCCTTACATGTCCGTCTGCAAAAGTTACGAAACATTTAGAAGTACAAACTTTGCAGCTTAAAGTGACTTATTCACCTCTTGTTTTCGCTGCAGCTCAGCCTCCTTGTCATCACGATGACATCTTTGATTTTGAGGATCCAAATCAATCAAACTGCTTTAAAACCATCCCAGACGCAAACGCGAATGTGTCACTGTCCATCAACCCATTGACCGTCAAGCATTTAAAGAACTCACTAAAATGGAATACCTCCGGTCCATCCACGCTCCAACTGAAGCATCCGAAATTTACTAAAATTCCACATCAGTGGCTGAAACGAGGAGGTGTAAAAGTTTGGTTCTACAAGGAAGCGCCTACTGAAAACAAAACAATGGACATAGAATTTAAACAATCCCAAAACCTTCTCGGAAAGTTCCAAGTGAATCTTGACTTTCAAGGATGGAGAGGAATTTGGGTCAAATTCTCAGAATGTAAAGTAAAAGGTAAGTCACTCAGCAAAAAGTCGGTTGAAATCGATGAAGTAACTTTTTTTCTGAATGACGCTGACACCATTTATATGGATTTACTTGGATTCGAGGAAAGTTTTGGTAAGCAGTCACGGGACAAAGTAGTTCCTCCGATCGGTGGTGTAGACCTTTATGACGCTAGCAATACCTGGCAACGTACATACCACTGGAGTCAGCAACGATGTCCTGCATTGCCCCTGAAAATTGACGATAAAAAGGTAAAGAGCTTAGAGCTTATCACAGCTCGAATGAGAAATTGGTTTTGCGACGAGAACAAAACGTCTTCCAACTTTGTGAAAGATTCCTTCCTTGACAAAAGATGGAAATCCCTCATGAGCACTGTTCAGCGCGCGCATAAAGAATACGACAAATTGAACTTCGATGCCGACGGAGAGGTCGTAGGTCCTCCTTTGTTTTGCAGAGACTGCAGATATGGAGCGAAAAAGGATAAGAGCACAAGAAAATTTGGTTTTATCTTTGAAAAAATTATGCTTCCTTTGGCTCTGGAATACTACTTGCGATCACGACCTAACGAAATAGCAGAGGCTGCCAAAAAGCATCTGGAGGAGCTGAACTCTGGAGACAATGACAAGGAAAATAATGCTTATAATGCAATTGCAGGGGAAGATAAAGGAATGAAAAAGCTCTTTAAAGACTATTTACCAAAACCAAGGCCACTTAAACAGGAAGACGTGGAAAAAGCGATAAAAACTCTAAACCTTGATCGCCTTAACAAGATAAACAATCTTCTTGATTTTGCAAAACAACAAGGATTTACAGATGGCAGTGGCTTCGGCTCGTTAGATCATGAATGGAACAGAGACGGTGCCGGATTCATGAACACGTTGTTCCTTCTCCGAGACTCTTTGAGCATTCCCTCAAATAAAACGAGATTGCTCGACCTGATAGAAACAGCCAAATGGTACAACGACTTTAGAGAGATTTATCAGTTACCAGAGTTCGAACATAGAGGGACAACTGCTGACCGTATGATAACGCTCCTGCTATACAGACTTATTATCGTTCTGGTGATGCCAAGCGGCAACGAAGACGAACTCAAAGCCAAAATTCGGGACATGGATGCTTTAGTTCGGTGGTCCAATAACGCAATGGCTGTGAATGAAGGCCTTGGGGGAGTCATCAAACCAGACTTTGTAGGATTTCACCACAAAGCGTTTTATGGATCCGCATACGTTCCACAAGCCCTACATGTAGCAGCGTTGGTTCACTACCTTCTCGGAGGAACTGAATTCGCTTTGTCAGCTTCATCTACCGAAAACATCAGACGAGGGCTTGAAACGCTGCGCATAATAGCGGTGAAGTCTTCAACGCCAAACAGTGTCAATGGACGTTTTCCCCATTACTACAACAAAGCCCTTATCAAGGCTGTATTACCGGGATATGCTTACATCAGCGTCTCCCATTCATCCAAGGTGCTATCAGCATTGCCAACAAGTATAACAGTTACAAATGGGAGTGGAGCGGAAATGTTTTTACGCTTGTATGACGATCCTGACGTGAGTAGTTACTTAGCAGATGGAGGCCCTAAAAAAGCCAAGTGCTATCTCAACAGTTTAGGATCCCTGGACATCATGGAGGCAGTAAGTAATTTGCTTTTTTTGGTAGACATTTTTGTTTCTCTGCACGTCCGTGGCAATGGGAACTGCTTAACGGACGATATACACGTTTTAATGAAAGCTCCTCATTGTAAAACTGCGTCAACTAATTCAGTCAGTTGTATAACCCAAATGAAAATCAGCATATTCAGTCCCAAAATGTAAAATGAATATTTTGATCACCAAGGGTTAAAAATCACCGTCATTTTCTTTTTTCAGCTTTGTTTCCAATGTCGCTCCTTTACCGGTGTACAATACTGTATACCCCAAAGCAGTAATAATATGAATAGAAACATACTCGTAAACAAAGAAAAGCCATTCTTAATTTGTTTTAGGTGAAAACCGTTGCAGACGCTCAAGGTGTATTTCCCGAGCCCTCCCCTCAAGGTCACTGGTCCAAGAACTTTGCAGCTCTGTCTGTTCACCGACGCAAAGACTGGGCTGTGACTACCAAAGGGTTCAATAGTTTGCTCTGGGATTTTGAAAGCTCTAAGGATGAAAATGTCTTCGGAATGTTTTCCAGCCATGGTGCTCTCCTCGTTGCAAACAGTGAAAAGAGTCTTGAGGTCCACGATGTCGCGAACGGGTGGGATTGGGCCAAAGTCCCTGGTGCTACAACCATCGCCATAGGAACTCCTGACGTTGATGAATTAAAATTGAAAAAAGCTAGGTTTTACAATCCGCGGCCTCTGGCCGGAGGGGTGACGTTTAAAGGTACAAGCGAGCTTGAAAACGGACTCTTTGCCATGGACTTTGAACAACCAAACTACGATTTTAAGGACTGGCGAAAGAACATCAGTTTTATTTTTAAGAAATCGGTGTTCTTTTTTGAAAACTTACTAGTTTGCTTAGGGAGCAACATTCGGGCCGCACAAACAAATGGAAAGTCAGTTCAAACGACACTGTTCCAAGACAGGCTTCTAGATGGGGTAACGTCATCGTTTATCACAGTCGATGGCGTTAAAAAATATCATGGCAATAAATCTGATGCACTAACACCAGATTCTGGAAAAAGTTACACATCTCTCACTGATGCTAAAGGCAACTTTTACTACATACCGGAGCCCAGCAAATCAATCTTGAAAGTCCACGTGAAAGATCAACCTTCCAAGACTGATGATGGAGATAAGGATACATCTGCACGTTACGCTACAGCATGGATCGAACATGGAAATTTACCCTCGAGTTATGAATACGCTGTTTTGATTCCTACAGATGGGTACCACAAAAACCTAAATAATATCACAACGGACCAAAGGACAGCAGGAAAGGAAGTTTACAAAGTTTTGCAGACAGATGAGGTCGCCCATATAGTCCAGTTTCTGAAGTCTCCCGAGTCGTGGGCAGTGCGTAGTAACCCTGTGACAGGTTATGCAATGTTTGAAGCATCAGCATCACTCCCAGCTGATGGCCCAGTAGAGGCGGTGAGTGGACCAAATTGTCTTATCATGGCAGAGAAAACAGCGGATTCAATCTACATCAGTATAAGCTCTCCCGACTTAAATCTACCCACTAAAAATGGTCCTTTACGTGGCTCAGACGATGTGGGACAAGAGGAGCTGTACCATGCATCAAGTGCTGAGAGACAACTAGAGGTGACCCTGAGAAGAGCGGTCCAGCAGAGCGTTGTGTACGCCCAAACCCACGGAAATCCAAAGTGCTACAAAGCCAATGTTTGGGTTTTACCCAATGGTAAAACAGTTCGCTTCTTAAATCTCAAAAATGGTTTTAGTGTTGAGGTAAAATTGATGTTGAAGTAAAAAACGCAAAGCAAAGCATGAAATAAAGTAAATTACTGAAACGCTTAAACGTACGTGTCAAACTGAATCGTTCAATATCTATCTAGCAATACACCATGTTATAGCGTTGCCAGTAACACGCAACACCTAGCACGTGGGACGTCTACATGCGACTACCTTAAGAATAATTTTCCTACATGATTTACCGCAGGTGAACCCAAAGATCCATAGCTTTACCTCCTTAGAAAGGTTAAAAATCAACTGATATGTTTCGCATCTTCTACCTCTCAAAGCCCTGCTCAACACCTTCAAGATCTCGCCTCTTTGAAGCATTGTCTAAAGAGTCATTTATTGAAGGTGATATCTGGGATATCTGGACTTGCCAAATGTTGATCTCGATATTTTTGACCAACTAGTTGGATTTTACTAAAACAATTATTCCTCTCGCCCTCATGGCCTCTAAGTCAATGGCCTCATGGGCTATTGACTCAGAGCCCTTTCGGGCTCGAGGAATAATTGTTAAAGAGCCTGAAGACAAAAGCTACACCTGTAAAGTACACTTGTAAAAGATTTATTAAATTGACCCCTGAAACCAATTTTTGTTTTATTAGTTTTAATGAATTCAGCGACGTCAGGAGTAAAACTTGGAGACATTTCATTGCGAAATGATCGCTGGTTCGAGGTCAGACGTATCTCTCTCTCGCTGAAATTGGCACGCAAAGGAAGCCGGGAAGGTTAAAACCGGCTTCGCATCTCCCGTTCTTCTGCGGTCGAATGCAACAAGCTTTAAGGGTACAGTTTTTCTGTTGATATAAAATGAGTTGTCATGATTATCGTTAGGACCTTAAAACAGCAAGATAAAATGGAAAGCCAAAACCATTTAAAAATATCTTTATTTAAGAAAACTTCGACTTTGGATCACTCGTCATTAACAAAAGCGTACGGCGAAGTTGTAAGTCCATCCAATCTTTAAAATGCTTCATTTCATTTCCCTTCCACTTTCCTACACTTTCTTATCACGTTTAATTTCATAATCATAATTTCATCAGGAGTTTCTTTTATGTGACTTTCACGTAGAATCTCATAGCGTCACGAGTTTCGCCATTTCATGTTGAAGGGAACAAAGCAACGATCTTGTCATTGATTTATCCTGTTACCATTAACTGTTCCGCTTCCACTGCACCTTGATAGTAACTGAGGCATAAACGATGTCCATCACCTTGGATGAGCTAGTGAAGGTGGAAACATTCTAGTACGTACGTAATCATCAAGGACCTACACAAAAAGATCACATTATACAGTAATTATGAATATATGAAAATCATATCTGTAAACTGCGGAGTGAAGATCATCGTAGTTGTATAAGCAACTTATGCAGTTGCGAAAAGAAAGCGATCGCAGAGGTCAAGGGTTCGAATCCCGTACAAGCCTGAATTTTTTTCAGGCTTTCTTTTCGCAACTGCATAAAGTTTCACTTTACATGTTGCCTATAGCTAGAACCAGAACTTTCCTTCCCACAACTTTCTTACAGGTGAAGACTAAAGTAGTGGGCACAAGTTCGCAGTTCAAGCCAGTGAAGAGACTGAAGACATGGACGAAAAGTCTTCTGCTCATTTCATGTTGGCCTACAGCATGAGGGAATTTTTAGACTGAGAAACGCTTATAACTATCTCACACCAGAAGGAATTGATAAAGAATAACCCCAAGTCTTCGAAATGTATGTTTGCAGAGCTGGTCACACAAAACAAAGCTCATTAAAGGGAACTAAAATTAACCTCAAGGGTTCTATGTCATTTTAGCCACAGGCAAATTAGGCGAAATAACACGAAAACGAGCAAACGAAACGGCCTCAGCATCTTGCAGTAACAGAGTGATTAACAAAACATGACGGGAAAGTATAACAAACCTCTCTTAGTGCTTGACCAGTGAGAAGAGGCTGGTTGTAACTAAACCCTGTTTCTTCCACCTTGGATCCATTTATATACAAGTGACTGTCATAGAGAAGCTCCTGTTAACAAAAGTAATACTTATAAAACTTGGGAGTACATTTGATAACCTTTTATTTGGGATCAATCACAGGAAATGATCAAACATCTTATGCACCTGAAGAGTACCAAAAGACATTAATCGTCTCACTTATTGTTATTTCAGTATACTGGCCCGCTCCAAGCCACATTATTTGAGTGTCTATGTAATAGCACGAAAGTACTCATTGAAGACACTGTTTTTGTGCCTCCTAATAGGGAGAATGGTGTAGCCTTTTACATGGCACAGGGAGTACCTTCATTCCTTAGTTATTTTATTTTTCTAATTTTTGGTCCGGTTCCGGAAATCGAAGCCGCGACCGTCAGCTCCGTGGTCAAGCGCTCTATCAAATGAGCTAGTACTGTCGCGGTAATAGTAAATATTCCATTGATTTTTGCACTTTTTCTCCAACCTACGCAGGGAACCCACCTGATCCAGATAGGGACTAAGGGGAGTGGTATGAATCCCATCTCTTTCGCAAGCTTCCGACCAAGGAGCAAGGTGTTTTTCGTTGGAATCCTCAACAGTGCTCGCCATGTTTAGCTAGAACGTACAGAAAGTAAACATCGTTAAAGTAAAATTAACTCCTCAGAAAAAAAAAATAACACAGGTGTATCGCGAAGATATATTCTGACTTGGGAAATGCCAAATTATAAACTACCGGTACGTGATAACATATATTTAGTGACCCGTGCTGAGTGCTGAAAGAAGTACTTACCCGTGCCATGTTCGACAACATAGTTCCAAAGTAGTCATGCTCAATTCCAAATATCTCACAGACAAAGTTAGAGATGCTTCCCTGGGCTGAAAGAAAATTACATATTTAATCATTTTATTATTTTGGGAGCATCACCTTCAACGCCCTCCCCATTCTCCCTTCTCAAGCCAGAAAAGATCAGGGGGAAACTGTTGGTAACCAGACCGGGTAAAGTTATGGCAACAGTGCAGAGCCAATATCTTTGGTCCAAGTAGCATAGTATGGATCGAATCGATCCCCTTTTGAGAGCGGTAATCTCAATCTCGAAGAGAAGAATATATCACCTTTGGAGAGGTCATAGCCCTTTCTTTGTCTAAGTCTTCTCGTGGAAAAAAAAGCGCACCAACTCGCACGTCATGCCGTTCATAGTTGATCACTAAACCTTTTGAAGTACTACAGTGTAATGCAAGTTCTAACATAACATCCCTCTTTCCATACCAATTATACCGGCCGCAGACAAAACAGACTAATATAAGCGTCAGTGAGGCATAATTTATGAGTAATCAGAATTGAAGGGATGCAATTTAAAACATCACATGTAATGGCTGCAATAAGATGCAGAACTCCATGAAAGAATCCTTACTGGTATCACTCTTGTCTGCCAAGTTGAATACATCACCACTGTCACCATGGCTGGCCAGATGCCACAGGGCTCGACACACGTCAATCACGTGAACAGTACTCATCTTCAGATCCTTTGTCCAAAGCAACTAAAATATTTAACACTGTAGTCAACTCTTGCGCTCATCATAATTAGAAAATAAACCACATTTTTATTCATTAAATTTCTTAATTGGGATAATTTAGCTACGAGGAGGAACAAACGGCTTGGCCTTCTTATGTATGATGTTATAAACAAAAAAGTGCTTGAATTTCTGAGCGAACTCTTTCCAATGAGCTGCGAAAGCAACCCCTACAAATCTCGCCTTAAAGGAAGTAACTTAGACATTGAAATATCACTTGTTCCAAAAACGGAATACTACAAAGGTTCAACTTCGTACAGGGGAGCACAAATGTCGAACTCTCTGCCTCAGAACTTGAAATCAGCTAAACCAAGGAGCATTTTTTAAAAGGAACCTATTGGTAGCTGTCAAATCGTTACTTCATCCTTAAATTTATCCTTAAATTTCTCTGTTATTGCCTCTTTTAATTTGTATTCCAAGTATTTTTGATCAGGTAGAGATTTGTAAACATAACTTTTGTACTTTAACGGTCACTCTTAACAGACTTTATATTCAGTGTGTATTTGAATACGGATTTCAAGTAAAAAGGTTTTTTTAACTTATCGAAACTACCGTATTGAAATAAAAGAGATTCATTCATTCATTTCTCAGTTTCTGATTGGCTTAAATCCCCCGCTAATTCCTCTAAAATCAGCTAGTACTGACAAAAATTTGGAATTCTATACGAGTGACTTCAATCGTAAAATAACAGGAAATCAATTTAATCGGCGAATAAACCCTCCTCGATTCGCATAGTACTTCATAACCTACTCAACTTCATCCAACACACCCTATTTCTATCCAATACACCCTATTTCTATCGAACAAAAACGGATCCCAAGTGCTGCTCTGATGGCCATATTTTCCAGATTTTAGGATAACAGTGAACAACTGTACCTTCATCTTTTCTCCCATTTGTTTGTAGACAGCTCCAATAATCAATCTTGGGGCTGAAATGAGATGAGAGAAACTAAAGTTAATATTGTACAAGTAGATAACAGCTTGGACTTCACAACTGAATATCTACCTATTGTTAGCAGATAGCAAAGCCAACCAAAATTGAGCGAGGTAACTAACAGTTTCCCCCTCCCCTTGCCAAAAAAATGTGGACTGTTATGCCAGGAAATATACAAGACTAGAGCTTTAAGACAGCTTTTATCCAGTAGCGGTCCACAGGGCAAACTGAACAGTTAAATGTAACAAAGGGAGCTTTCTCTCATACCTATGACTCAATGTATAAATGTCTTGCCCGATTGCAACTATGACTAGAATTCTAAATGTACATCCTTAACTGTTCAGTCAACAGCTCAAGACTCTGTTCGTCTTTGTGGTGGCATTACAAAAGAGATTTAGAATTTACGGCAAACACGACAAACGTCCTTGCTGTATCATGCATCCAAATTTGCATGTAATTGTTACGTCGACTTTCGGTGATCTTTGCACAGAATGAGTAGTTTCATTCCATTTTTACCCATGAAATTATTGTGGACAGTTATTATCCATCTATTTCCGAATTTGAAATTTAAATTGTTAACTTGAAACTGACGTGTGGTGTTTGCCACAAACGTAATTCTAAATCTCTCTATTTAATAAAAAAGGTAACAAGGAGACGAAACTGTCGGACATCATTATAACTAGAAAACGGGTTTTCCATTCGTGAGTTTGGGTGATCCTCGATTTACCACATCGATATATGCACTATAATTTGTGTTGTTCTACTGTGTAAGTGCTAGGTATCATTGATGTGTTCTTTGTGACATAACTTGAGACTTGTCATTCACTTGGTATATTGTGCACCAGCCATGAGTGTGGTCAGTGACAGAACAAATTCAATAGTAGTATTAAAACAATAACTCTTTTCATCTGGTAAATGAAACATACTTAGCCCCCTTCTGTCAGCTACCCCATAAATGATTGCTGGTCTAACAATAACGTAGTTTAACCTGAAAGAAAAAAGTGTAAAAGTGCATGAAAACAAAAAAGCGAAACGGAAAGAACGGAAGACAAAAAATATTGTCTCAAATATTGCTCCATTGTCTCAAATCGTAACGTTACAAAACAAACGATTCGTGTTATAGATGATGTTCCTTTAATGGAATCAATAACTCCACACTACACATCCTTAGGCGTTCTGAAATTTCCTGATATTGTTAAACTGAACACACGTATGCTTTTTTATGATTATTTCCACCATGAAAAGTTTCCTAATATACCTGTTTCATTAGTATCTGAACTACATAATTACAGTACCCGCAGTGCATCATCCAATCAAGTTGCAATACCTATATTTCGAACTAATCTTAGGAGATTTAGCCCCAGCATTATTGGAAGTTTCTTTTGGAACGATATTCCGCAATCCATTAGAGACAAACCATCTAAAAAAATGTTTAAAAAAGCACTTTTACACTGGTACCTGGCTCAATACTAATGAATCAATATCCCTTTTACAACTTTCTGAGCTATTTTGTCATTTTTCCTTTACTTTTTTATTGATAATCTTAAGTCCTTTGTTATACATAACTTTAAGGGGCACAATATTAGTTTATCTAGATGTGCCCCTCTCCTCTCCTTCCAATATACAATGTAATTCAATTTAAGTGTTGTAATTTCTATTTTACGCGTTTATTTCCTTTGTAAATCTTTATCTGTTACTACATTATTTTTTTTCAGTTATATTTACATAACTATGTATCAGCTAGGAATTGGAAGAATAAATAAAATAAAATGAAAAAATGAAAAAATGAAAGACAAAAAATAGCAAGGGGAAAGAAAATATAATTATTAACAAAAATGCTGTCATTTCTTGGGTGGAGTACCTCTAGACAGTGGTAGGGAACAACAACAAGTACAAAACAAACAAACAAACAAACAAACAAAAACAAAGAACAACAACAACCAAAAGCATAAAATGTAAAACACAGCTTTACATGATGTATTCATTACCCCTCAAGTTTAGCTAATTCCTCTTCAACCATAAGTTTGTACTTTGCAATACATGTCCAAGGTGATGTTTTGCTCTTCTCATCGCTCTCACCCTGGATCATAAAATAATAATACAAATTTAACAATAACAATAATGATAAGCAAATAAAAATGGACCATGCACAATAAATAGTTACATACTTCTTGAAAAGTTTCTTAGTAAGTGATCATAAAACTATGGTGGCTGTGGCATTGACTAAAGTAAAAACCACCTATAGCAACCTAAAAAATCAGCCCAAAGCATTTCATTAATATGAGGTGTGTACAGTACACCACCTTTAACAAGGTCACCTTTGTGGAAGAGACAAGTGGATACTTAGTAGAGGGGCTTTGTTTACAGCGCTTTACTGACAATTTTGTCTGCTAGCACCCTCCAAACTGGCTAAAAAATAATAGAGGGTGGCCCTTTAGTAGGATGCTACTTAAAAGAGGTCCAAGTGCTTACATTTTAGGCTGTTCATGTTCATAAACTGAGGGTGCATGTACCTGGTTACCTTATTATAGGAAATTAACGCTCCATGAATAATAAATAATGTGAATTATTCCATGAAGATACTCATTACAAACTCAATTTTTATGAAGAAGCTAACCCTAACCTTACCCAAAGTTAACCCTAACCCTTAATGAAAGCCAACCCTAACCCTAACCCCAACCTTAACCCAAACCCTATAGCTAACCCTAACCCTACTCAAACAAACAAAAAAAACCCTTGAGCATTTACTTAAAAAAGAAAATAACAGGTTTTATAAAATAATTTGTTGCAAAAACAAAAATCAACCAGCCAAAAAAAATGTAACTAGTTAAATTATTATTTACCTAGTTAGAAAAAAATAAACTAGTTAGAAAAAAATTATCTAGTTAGAAAAAAATTAGCTAGTGAGAAAACAAAATTAACTGAGACAAAAAATTAACTACAACATAGTCCACAGGTTTTTATTCACTTTACAGTTCTCACAGGTAAGGCTTATAATTTAACAGTATGTGACTTACAATGCTATTTCATACCTTGTCACAAGAATACACTTGGGCAGTGGAGATCTCAATATACCTCTTGACATTGGATTTTAAAGCTTGTTTTGCACAGTTCAAACTTAGTTTTAAAATACCATCTTTATACACCTACAAGAAAGAACACTTCATACATGATCTCTGTACTTTCAAATTACAATAACGATGGCGGATAATGGCCTGCATGACAGTTCTTTCTTCCTTCTCCTTTCACAATTGCTTTGCAAATGTAATGGTATTGACAACAGCTTACACCGTTATCAACTGATTCTTTTCTCTGCCGATCCTTTCCCCTTCATTTTTTATAGAAGATGCGGTTTTTACTGTGGGGCAAAAAATGGCCATCTTTCTGGCCATTCCTGAAATCCCCACACCTCTTATGAAGTGTCAATGAAAATCAAAGTTTTTAATCACTCCTAAAAATGTTTCAGAGCTCTACTTGTGGGTGCCCTGACAAAATCCCAATTGAAATTCCATCTTAAGGGTGCATTAATTTTTAAATTCCCATAAGCTGCCATTCTTGGATTTTAAGCTCTCACAACCAGAAACTACATGGCCAGTCCCAATAATAAAATACATGATAGGTATAGTGCATGGTGATTATGCTACAGGTCAAACCTACAATCATTGTCAAAAGTGTTGGGAAAGTTGCTTTTTTTACCTCTTTTTTCCTTCCTCCCCCTTCCCCTTGGCCCAATATTGAGCAAACGTTTAATGCTTGTGGGCGAAATTGTTCTGTTATGTCCCAACAAGACAAGGTCTAACTTGACTACCTGTTCAGACTGCCCATATCTTGTTTCTGCAGCACAATTGATGCAAATGTCAAAATCCCCTTCAGAATCCAAAAATGCTTTCTCCACACTGACTATACAGAAATCAGGCAAAGAGGTTAGAAAGAGAAACAGTAAATACTATGCATTTGATAAATTTCAGGGTGCAACAAAACTGCTGCCTGATTAGCCTGAGACTAGTCAAGCAACCAACTGCACTCTATTTTAGCATTTTTAAATTACAAGTGGCCTCATGGCAGGTAACATTTTCTGGGATAAAGAGCATGTAAGTGAAAAAGGAGGTTGGCAAGATTGGCAAGATTACATGATAGGCCACCTACACTACAAAGTCATGTGACCAATGCTTCCTTTAAACAATGAGTTGGAATCTTAATTGCTGATGCCAAAAATTGACTGAGCACATAAAAATTATCTTACACCCGAAATTTGAGAGGAAACAAATTTAAGGGAGATATTTTATGGCACTTTGATTTTTCAACAAAGCAATGTAGTGTAATGGCCACCATGTTGGACGGCATACCTTTGCCCTCCAACATGGCGGCCAAAACTTCTTTTTGCTTGTACCTTGTTAAACGTTTGATAGTTACGCTCAGATGTGCTGTAAACGCTACCACCATTATCTCTTCAACAATTTCCTTGAAGTTTAAATGCAAAATTTCTGTTCAGAAAGAGGTAATTCATAGCTTTAAAAATCACACTTTGGTCACGTGACCAGCTACAAACTTACTCATTTTAAGAAAATGGTGCAGGTTTGAAAAACTAAATCACTATTATTTTGTTTAAGATATGTCCCACTAATGGTTTTTTGAAGGCAAAATCATATAACTTTCATTTTAATAAAAATGATGTCACATGACCTGTTAGTGCAAATGGCCTATTGCTCTGGGCTTGAGCAAGCCTAAGCAACAGCTTGCTCAAAGGGCAATTATTAAAAAACTTAGTTTTTAAATTTTCATCTTGGCACCCTGGGCCCACTTTGAGGGAAGGAAAAATGAAAAAAATCTCTGCAGGAAATTTGAGGATTTCTTAGAAATTTTACAAAGATTCCTCAACTTTATGCCTCATTTTTACTTGTTTAAAAGTTAAAGAAATAATAGTATTCAGCTGATTCTTACCAGGGCTAATTAGATTGGCACTTTTAAACTCCACATTACTGTGGTGAAAAGCTTCCTGCAAAAATAGTTTTTTACAGTGACCCAGATCAATAAAAATTATTGATCATTACAACCATCTACTGTATGTAGCAGGAACTATTAAAGCCACACATATAAGAACTTCAAAATGTTATCCTCTATACTAGTTATAGGCTATATAGTGCTGAAACATTCATGTCACTTGAAAAAATGACAATGGTAAAAGAGAAACTCATATTGCTCATCATTGTAATTTCGGTCGAGTTTGCCAGTACATTGTTCGATCACCATCAATAATGTGAAATACCAAAATAGTATGTTACATTGACAACTCACTGGCGACTGCAGCAGGTATGGCTTATAATCAAATGGAGATCACCGAACACCAATACCCATAATATGGGTGACATGAGAGACCTACATCCCTAGCCCCTGTGATGGTCAAAAATTAGTTGACTTAAGTTTAGGGTCTGTAACTGCACACAAAAACTTTGAACAGCTTCTGGAAAACATCTCTGCAGAGTCGTCAGTGACAACACTGGGGTTTTATTAGAAGTGACCTGGGACCAGCTGGCACCAGTGTACTCTGCCTTCATGCAAGGTAGAAAATTTACCACTTTTTTCACACAAACTTTCTCTGCCTATAATTTTATACTCAACATTGGTTACCCTCCAACTTCAAAAAAAATAGATAAAACCCTGTAGCACTGTCAAAGCTATATACATGTAGTTACAGAGTTGTGAATAGTGCTGTTATTCTAACTTACTTTGTGTCTTTCATTCAGCCATGCAGTCTTTGGTGGAACTTTATCAACTGCCCGAATCTAAAAATTGATAGATAGACTGGCAACTTCAGTAATAAGTATTTGCAAAATTGCACATGTCACAGAAAAAAAAATTGTATTTTATAACAGAGGGTGTTCTCAATCTATGGCTTTAAGTACAGGAGTGTTGGAAAGCTTGTGCAGTCCAAAACAGCCAATTTTTCAGGCCAGTCCTACAAGTTAGACATATGTTTGCTTATTCTTCCTGGAAATTGCAGATGTTCTTTGCTCATGCTTGACTGACCCAGCTGCTACACTGTACCAGTGAGTTGGTTTGTACATTGGTATTTTGAAATGTTTTCCTTACCATGTATTATAGAGGTAGCCTTTACCAGTGGTTCAAACAAAGATATTCTTACCTTAGAACACAACTCATGCTCAACAAGATAACATACAAGGTTACGACCAACAAATCCTAGACCTGCATTTAAAACAGATAGCAACCAAAAACAATATTAATAAACATGAGAGAGAGACATCAGCTAGTCAAAGAGAGCACGTTTAAAGGCCATCTTTATGACCAGTTCGTTTAACTGCTAAGAAGTGAAACTAATATTTGATCTACAAGTACCAGAAAAAGTCACTCATGAAATGTCATGTCTCAAAGTCAATTGATTTCAAAAATATATTAAAAAATATTCAGTCATTTCCTCTTCTCTGGTTTTTCTCTGCTGAAGCGAAAGGAAAAGAGAGGACTCCAGACACAATGAGGTCACCGTTGGCTTACTTATTGCCATCAGGAGTTGTAATTTGCTATTATGGGGTGGGGGGGGGGGAGGGAAGGGGACTCCTGAAAATCTGAAAATTTGAAAATCTTAGTGGGGGTGTGCTGCCTAGAGTTGTCAAAATCCTGACCCTATTTCAAAGCTAAAAATGTCATTTCCTACACCCATTTTCAGACCTGGCCCCAATTGTTGGAAAGGTGGATAGCGCTATCCATAATATAAATCTCTATTCAGTGGATTGTGCAATACTTATCTACTAGACAGAGATTTATCCAATGGATAGCGCTATCCACCTTTTGAACAACTGAGGCCTGGCCTTTTAATAGGAAATTATGTCATCATTAAAATACTTAGATTAGAACACCAACACAAAGATTTTGTAAAATCCATTTTGAATTTGCATATTACTCTTTCTTTCATATAGGAAGTTGCCCTGCAGGTCATCTTATTGCAGTTCTGTCAACTCCCCTGGATAATCTGGGAGACTCCAGATTTTGGACCGTACCTCCCAGTCTCCAGATTAGAGTCTGAAATCTCCTAGATAATCGCCAAAGTTTGCCATTTCTTGCAGACTCAACTTTCCAACCATAAAATTTCAAAAAATCTGCATTGTTTGAGCTACTGTCAACATGAAGTGTGTCCTCATTAACTTCGGTATGCCATTAAAATTTAAGTGATAATGTGACTAAATATGAACTGTTTATGTCACCTTTCATCCTTTCCCTATCAGTTCTCAATATTTGATGAGTCAGACTCAGACATGGGGGGAAGGGAGGCGGGGGTGGGGGGGGGTGGGGGTGGTTGATAGCCCAGTATCAGTGACTGATGTAAATGACAGGATAATATATGGTAGCAAACCAAATTTGGTCAGCTCTAACTGGTTAAAAAGAATTAGCTGAAGAATTGAAGACAATGTGAGATGGGGGAAATTAAAATGTATTAATTTCAATTTAAATGATTTATCTACAGTTAATACACCTCAAAACCGTGCCAAGGTCTGTTAAGATCAGTGTTGTCGGTGATATTATTTTGAAGGGTAGGGAGAGACGGAGGCGACATATAAGCCTTCTGATGATATATAGTTTCCCTTTTTTATGTGTTGTCTTCATCCAATTGAAAGAAAATAGATCCTCAACCCAGGTGAAATGGTGCGTGGGCTAAGGTCAATCATGATCAATTGACTTAATACTCCTCACTAAACAATAAGATTACTATGAAACGGTTTAGTAAGCGGCATAGTGTTGACAAACCACTCACCACCAAGTACTATAACTCTAGGTTTGGACGCCATAGTTCTTCTTCCTCAAATATTGGTAAACCACCAGGGTAAAAAAACAGTTTCAGGGCTCCTGATGGTGATATCCCACGAAAGATATCTCAACGTCCACGCAAAGAGGAGGAAAGTCATCTAATTAGCCACATCGAGAACAGGTATCTGCTAATTTTCCCTACTTCTTAAAAGGAGTAAAACCACTGTGAAAGTGAAACTTCCAACACATATCTGAAACGACTGAAAGAAAACTGCCTAACAGATCGAGACGGATATTCGACAGACCGGTACGAAGCCGCTGGTCACCACGTGCAGGGTGTCGCGGGCTGCCCCTAGCGCGAATAGAGAAAACCCGGGGGGGGGGGCACTTTCGTATTTTTTGGGTGGGTATGTGCCGCCCGGGACTCCAAATTGGCACCCCGTTCTAGAAAAAATTCCCCTAAAATTGATACCCCGTTCTAGAAATGGGCCAAATTTTTATACCCCGTTCTAGAATTCGCCCTAAAACTGATACCCCGTTCTAGAAATAGGCCAATTTTTTATACTCCGTTCTAGCGTGCAACAAGAGTACAACGGTTTACTTGTTAACGCATTGAACCGTATTTTTAAAAGCAATCTGTCCTTGAATACTTTCAAATGGCTGCTTACAAAAGTGGAGCTTTCATGCGTTCGAAATATTATACCCCGTTCTAGAAAACGCCTCTGAAATGGATACCCCGTTCTAAATCAGAAGCTTCAAAATCACGACCCCTTTGGGCAGCACATACCCGTATAGGTAATGTATGGGAGTACCGCCCCCCCGCCGGGAGAGAAAAGCAGTGAGGGTTGAATTTCGAAGAAAAACAGAAGAAATTGAGAGAGAATCTACCTACCCAACTAGTCTTTTTCCACGTTCTCATTTTGCCATCTCCATTATCTGAACCCCTGGCAGCCGCTCGAAAGAAAAAGGGGAATCAGGCGACTGGAGTTTTTTTTTCTGCCCACCCTCCGTATCCACAGTTTGTTTGTGTTTTTGTTTTTGTTGTCATTATCAGTAGAACACTTTTATTAATGAGTAATGTGAAAAGTCTGACTACAACTTCAAGTGATGAGGACCCTACCTATCGACTTACCCAATACCTACAAGTACCCATATCGACCCATATCGATACGGCTATCCAGCGTATAAGTAGTAGGATAGTGTTGCTGGGCCAGAGCCATATTTTCCCCTTCTAAAATATATGGCGACGATACAGTCCTGGGTCTGATATCTTATATCTGATATCCTATAACTAAGAACAAAATCTGTCAACACCAGATTATAACTCTAAAGTCGTTTATCAGCTGGTTTGTCTTCTTTGTACGTTAAATATACTTACAAAGTTCTCTCACTTACAACGCCCCCGCAAGCCCCCGCACGTTAACAACGCCACTCTCACTCTATATCAACCCAGTATTTTTAACATTGTTGCCTTTTCAAAAATAAAGTTTGAATTCAGCATCATTCCCTATTATAAAGTTGAAACGTTTTTTTGTTCCAGTGGATTGGTAAAAAATATCATTTACTAGATATTTCTTTCGGTGAAAGTACACATTCTGGCGCGAAGACTGTCAACATACGGGAACTGACAGGGAAACTAAATTACCATGGGTAATAAGAAAATCTTTTTCCATCAGATTCAGAAAACAGTTTACTCTTAGCTTTGCCGTAAAAAATGTGGAAACAATCATTTTAAAACGGAAAAATTACGTTTCTGTAGCTATATGAAAAACAGTGAGATTAAAGTAGACTAAATTTTTCTCAACAGATGCTTCACCTTTTATTGATCGAAGTCAGCGTGCTTGCATTTTCCTGTTACGGGTCAATCACGTGACTTTGGCAGAACGGCGTCCCAAGGAGCAAAGGAAGTTCCAAACGACTAACAAGAGGCAGCCATGTGCTTCCGCCGATGGTTTCCGGCCATTTTTTGCATCCTCTAAACTTTTGATGGCCTGATATTTTACGGTAACATTTTGCTGGAATATCTTAGATTACGTTAAGCAGTATATCGTGGAATAGTTGCGTTGAAAGGTGAGTGCAATCCACTCGTAATTTTCAAAACTGGTTGCAAAAGTTTGAAGGCAGAATTGTTCGCTTCCGTGTTGAGTTGCTTCGTTTGTTGTGTTTCGCGAAACGAATCGGATTTTGTCCAATCTTCGAAGGAAACAGTGTGAAACTTCATCCGCATTTACTCCACAAAAAGAGCTTCGTTTTTTAGGAGGTGAATGTACGAGTTCTTGGCACAAATGGCAGTCGACCAAACCGGTAGTTCTGCTTCTGTGGACACGATCCTAATTTTGCATAAATTAGTTACTCCGGATGTGCAAAGTTGGATCGCGTATGTTTTCTCTTCCCATGGCCCTGCTCAACAGGCCTTACACCTGTCTCGGTAAACCTTGAAAAAAACAACACTTTTTGAGGTTTTCAAACTTATCTTAGCGTTTTTCGGGTTCCTTCAAGCAGCGAGAAGTGTAAAGTTTTTCTACCTGTCAGGTTGTGTATTTATCGTTACTGCCGATCGATCATCTTTATAATTCATCGCTTCGTTCCCAAAATTTGCTCGTGATCTGGCACTCACGGAGCAAAACGTCAATGGAACAATAAAGTTTCTCCCTGCAATAATATTTCTTTGATAAAAGTATAACATCATACCCACCAAAAGTTTTGTTTGGCGTTGACGTTTGTGAAGTCCACGGATACAATATGGCGGCTTTTGACTTCCGGACAAGCAAACTTTGCGCTCACCGTATATTTGTCGGGGCTCTTGCTGAATGATTAGCAGTTTTTAGTTGATATTATAAGTAAGAAATAAATTGTCTTTTCAAATTGTACGTAAATGCTTTTAAATCTCAGAGAAGTTAATAGACATGTAAACTTGTTGTTGTGTGCTTTGTATTATCAAAATTACCGTAATTTATTATCTTTATTTTATTCTGATAATTTTCTTGAACATTCAAGTTTTTGTCGTGGATTGAAATTCGCGGAAAAATACCATCTCAGGTAGGAGTATTGTTACAACTTTGTCGGCACGAAAAACCCCTTTCATTCGTAGTATAGAGTTCACTGGCCGAACCTTATCACCATTCTCTTCTACAACTGTTTTAGCTTATATAATTAACTGAAAGTGGAAATTTCTAAAATTTTTAATACTTAATACTATATCCGTATAAAAGATACTCGTGCAAAATTATTCTCACTGTCATTTCATACAGTGTAGTCATTAAATTACAGACAATAAAAAGGTGAATAGTACATATTTAAGGTTATATATAATTCCATGATTTTTTTTTCTCATCATAATTTCTGGAAACACAGATTAGAAAAAAAGGAAATTCACTACTGTAAAAACTTCAATGCAAAAAGAAAATAAATAAATAAGCATTGCACTTCANAAAAACCAACAAATCTATTGTTATCAGTGTTTAATTGATATATGGTACATAAACGCAACAACAACAACTTTGTTTATTTCAGTATTCCCACATGAGTACATGGTATTACCTACGTTATTTATGTTATAAATCTTAAATCAAAATAAAGGCTATAATTAAAGAACAAGTTTTTGTCTATATGAATGTATGTAAGCAGCTGTAAGTACATAAATTGAAGCTGTCCTCCTCAGTGACTGTGAAATTTGTGAAACAAGTGGTGATCATATCTTGTTCTTGGAGAGAATTTTGCTGAAAATTATTTTGGTCAAGCCTTTGCATACCAGTCTCCTTGTATGAGGAGAAAATGGAGCTGTAATGTTATTATTATACATGTCTTTTCAATCCAGTGAATTATCTAAACTGCATAAAAAATGAAACAGCTCAAATCAGTGACTACCCTGATTCATTAAGTCAACATTTCCACATTTACCCCACACATTAGATTGCCATTATCTAAGCTCCCACATTTTCTTAAAATGTGTTCACAAAGCTGTGACAAAGTCCTCAATTCTCCCAACTATTTGTGGAAGCTAATTTCTCCTAGCAGTGTCTCTTTGTGACCTGAGAGAAGCAAAAATAGCCTTTAAATAATCATAATTATTTTTGTACATATAATTATTGTTATATGTACTGTTAAAATTTCCAGGGCGTGTCGCAACAAACAAATTGGTATTATGAAGGAGAAGGAGAAGTCCTCCCTTGTTGACCTTGGAAAGCGTCTGCTAGAGGCATCTCGAAAAGGACATGCAGATGAAGTTAGCATGCTGATGGCATCTGGTGCTCCTTTTACAACTGATTGGGTAAGATAACTGCAGTTAGTATTATTGTTATCATTATGAATAATGAAGGGCTTGACACAAGATACCGGTTTACAATCCCAATCAAGGCTGTGCTCTCACAGCACCCTTAGGCCCATGCTGTCTAACTTTTGCTCCTGGCAAGTAGAAAATTTCTCTATTTTTTTATACAAAGCATATTCTGGGTACCCTGGATTTCACAAGTTCAGAGCACTGGGCTCACTTCAATATTTCTTAGATCACAGTCTTGCTAATTGTCATGAGAAAAAATTAATGTACTTTTTTTCAATTAACCATCCCTTCCTGTTTTTTTATCCCACTGGAGTTGGTTTCCAACATACAAGTACATTATTTAAGTGGGAAATTGCCGAACTGGATTGTTCCTGGCAAAGTGACTGAAGTTTTTGAGTATCATTTCTAGAAAATGAGCATATAAACACACAAATGCAGGGCACAGCCAAAAAAGTTGTAAAATTAATAAAGAATTTTCTAAATATCTAAGAATCTTCTGAATATTATTTTGTGTTGTATCCTGAATATCCAGATATTTGTGGAAAGGCCTCAGACTGAATGAAACAAACAAAATTTTGGTCCCGCATGTGTACTGTTATTTCAGATGGAATATATCTTGGTAGTTCTTACTTGTTCAAGGAAAACTGTGCTGTAACTTTGTTGATAAGGTATTCCTAGTTGTACATTATTAATTGTAACAAATAGCTTCACATTCAAACCTTTCTCAGCTTGGCACATCACCATTGCATTTGGCTGCTCAAC